AGAGACGGCCAGTGGCGGGTCCAGAGGCGGCCTATGGGGGGGGGGGGCGGGGGGGGCAAAGTCGCACTGATAATCCAAGTGTGGGACAGGCATTTGCCTAGTACAGTGGGCAAGTCGCCTCGCTTGTTAAGCGTGGACAATGTCGCACCGTTTGCAAGCAGGGGACAAAGCGACGTTTGCACGCTTACAAGCTGGGCAACACGTGCCGTGCCGACTTACGCGGGCAACGGTCGCCCGGTTTGGTGCCAGCGTGGGCAAAGTCCGGCACTTGCTACGTTGGACACCGCCGGCAAGGTGCGGCCTTGCCGCTTACAGGGGGAATGTCCACGTTATCGGCCAGTGGCGTTCCAACTATGGGGGGGCAAAGTCGCACTTTTTGCCTACTTACAGGGGCAAAGTAGCACTTTTTGCCTACCTTTCAGGAGGCTATCTAGGGGCAAGAAGTGCTCCTTTGCCGGCAAAGGAGCACTTCTTGCCCCGTGGTAGGGGAAGAAAACGAAGAAAAGTACATGGAAAGGAAAGTGCATCTTGAAGCTAAAATTGGAGTGTGAAATCCCTTTTGAATGGATGATGAGGTCCTCAGCAGTAAGGCACAGGGGGTGCACACTTCTTTACCCGATTACTTTTCTTGCCCAACCTACCTCTACTTACAGGAGCGAAAGTGTGGCTTTTGATACCTCGGCTAGCCGCCAATAGAGGTTCCATTATTCTCGCTGTTGCCCCCTTTCTGGTTCCGCGCTTGGCAGCGGCAAGGAAAAGTCGGAGCGGGTAATGGAACCGCCAGCGGGGCCCTTATTTTTCTCCATGGAAGTGATTAAAAATGGAACAGTAAACTGTAAATTAAAGTAATTTACTTTTAAAACGACCGCGCGCCTGGTAGGGCTTTCCACTGATAAAGCTTGACTCAAGCATAGAGATACGCTTCGGTTTTACCAGTGTTCTGCCTCCAGCAGACCATCCTTTGGCGGCCCTTTCGGCGTTCGTCCCGGTGACTTGAACGCGAGTCACAAAAACCAGCGAAAACAAAAACAACAACAACGGAGAGGGCGCATCCCGGCAGGGCCAGACAGGGCCGGGCAGGGCCGGCAGGGCTTCCCCTGGCGGCAGCAAATGAGCGGTGGCGGCCCAGGTTGCCCAGGTAGAGGAGGAGGAGGAGGACGGGCAGCCGCGTCGAGGGGGAGAGTGAGTGAAACAGAGTGACGCATCGAAACAAAAAACCGAAAGTGGTCGACAAGCCGATCGAGGCTTCGAGGCTGGGGCACGCGACAGGCACGCGAGTTGCCTCCCCTCCAGACTACCCCCTCCCCCTTCCCTTCCCCTCTCCGACGCATCGCGCGCCCCGCGCCCATCGAGTGCGGCGGGGCGGCGCGGCGGCGGCGCAGGGGTTGCACCCGTTGCACCAGGGATGGCACCTCGCGGTGGTTGCGTAATGCAAAGGGGGTTGCCTCTCATTGATTCCAACTGCGGCCACGCACGCGCGACGCCTACACGCGGAAGTAAAAGCGCGACGTTGGCCTCACCCCTCTGATTCCACAAAAAACAAGGTGGCCAGCGTTTTTTTAAAATAGTTTTCGAAAGCTGCTTTCTAAACAAGTTAAGTCGATTCGACTAGTTTGGTTGCTTTTCCCAGGAATATCATTTTGATTGAGGGAGTACCTGGGTTCAGTCAAATGAGTTTCAACTACACGGCAAAAGCGGTACGTAGCTGGCAATCGCAGGCGGCTCGTGGAAAAAGTACCCCCTTTTCCAGGGTGGGCCTGGAAATCCGATGTACATACTGCTTTTTCCATGTAATGGTGTGAGTCGATCTGAGTAACCAAGTTTCAGTGAAACCAACTTTCTTTTTAGAAAATCCAAAAAAACGGAGGTGGGGACGCTCCTAGAAAACCATGGATGCGACGACAGCAAGGCGCCATGCAATGTCAAGGGTGCGGGACGCCCGATGTGCATTGCATGGCGGGGCACCGCGGGGCACTGATTACCAGTGTGGGGGTTGGAGCGCGATGTCCCCACCCCCTTTTTCCCGCCCCTGGCCGGGCCGCGGCGCATAAGCAGGCAGCCACGCGCGCCACGCCGATGCGCCGTCAATGAAGTGTCCTGACCGCTCGAAGGGACTCTGCGGCTCGTCGCTCCGTCCGTCCGTCCGCCGTCCGTCCGTCCGCCAGTGTGCCGGGCACGCCCCTCGGCCAATGGGCTGCCGCGTCGCCCACCCCACTACCACCATCACACGTTTTTTTATTCATCTCCCCCGGCCTGCAGGCCGCCTCCGGAAACGGTGCAGCTGTCTCTCTCGCACGCGCGGCGCTTGCCCAAGGGGTGCGAGAGAGACAGAGCGACACTGCTTCCGGAGACTGGCCGTCGCCGAGGTGCAGCCTCTACCCCCTCCCACCGCGATGTGCAGCAGGTTCGGGGTGAAGGGGGTGGGGGAGAGGGGCCTTTCTATTCCTCCCTAGCAGCTGCCGGCTCTGGTTGAGGTGCTCCCGGTCCGGCCCGAAATCCGGCCCCGCACGCGCGCCGCCCGCCGCGCCGCCGCGACTGGGGAGCCTCGCCTGCCGGCCCTGCCGCCGCGACTACCCGCCCGCCTACCCCCACCACGGCCGGCGGCAGGTAGGTCCCAACAGCACGCGCCGCTCCCTCCCCCTCCCTCTCCGGAAGGACGGCCGCCGGCGAGGCGCGGCGAGGCGAGGCGAGGCAGGTAGGAGCGGTAAAAATGAAGCGGCGTACCCGGATCGGGCTCAGTTCGGTTCGGATGCGGCAGGCACCGACACCGGCCACCCTGCCCTACCCTACGGGCCCTACCCTACGGGCCCTACCCGCCCCAGCGCAGCCGCCCCGCCGCCCCAGTCAGTCCAGTGCGTTCGCCCCGTGCCCCGTCCTCGCGCCCCCCAGTGCAGTGCAGTGTCTCAAAGTGCCCCGGCAGTGACGGCAGCATGCGTGCGCCGGGGAAGGTCGGCGCCCCGCTCTGAAGGATTTGCAACGACGCGTTCTCTTGGATTTTTTAAACCTCCAGTGTGAGGGTGAGTATACAGTGCAGTGCCGAAGGAAGGGGAATGGGACACTGTGACACGTGACCTAGCCCTAGCGCGCCCGGCTGGCGACAATCGCCTCCAATTGGTCCAAAACTTTTCGACTTACCGGCGCTAAGCGGGGCCAATCAGTGGTTCATTCGTCCGGCCGGATCGGAAGAAAGGCGCTGACTTATGGATGCCTTCCGAAGCGACTTCGTCGACGTCGTGCCCCGAGGAAGGGACCGCACCCCGCCGCGGATCATTTCTTTGCCGAAAACTTAAAGAAAACTTAAAGGTTTTGGGGAGCGCCGCCGTTGTTATTGTGCGTTTGAGACGCTTGCCACCCCTTTGCTGATGCCACCCTGGTCGCTCAGGCGAAGTGGCCAAAGTCCACCGGGACGCCTCTGCGTCGCGCAGTGGGCCAGAAACCGGCGGAGGCGGCCAAAATTCGAGACGCGTTTTGAGCTGCAGAGTCACTAAGCAGGACTCGAACCGAACGTGTGACCCCACCAATGGATTCCTCGTCCTGAGAGCAATCCATTGGTGGGGTCACACGTTCGGTTCGAGTCCCATTTAGCGACTCTGGAGCTCAAAACGCGTCTCGAATTTTGGCCGCCTCCGCCGGTTTCTGGCCCACTGTGCGTCGCGCGTGTTGTTCGACGCGTTCACCCGCACTGTGTGAGGGTGTGAGGCGTGCGAGGTCAAACATTGATCCTACACCAGAACCCGAGTGGCACTAAGAAACATGATGTCGTCAGTGACTTTATTGACATGGTAGGGACTTGGCAGTGACTTAGCAGTAACTTGGCAGTGAGTTGGGAGTATAATGTGGCAGTTATTTGGCTAGTGAGTTGGCAGTAACTTGGCAGTGACTTGGCTATTAAGTTGGCGGTAACTTGACCCGGCTTGGCAGTGGTTTAACAGTGATTTCAATAACTTGGCGCTAAGACTGATCGCGAGCACGAGAGCATCCCCTGTGGAAGTTCGTCCCGCTCGGCGCGGATAGGTAAACCCACCGCGTGGTCGCGCCCCGCGCGGCGCGGGGTGGCGCGTCAGTCGCTGTCTACCTCGCACGCCTGCGGGACGCTCCATGCGAGCGAGAGAGAGAGAGAGAGAGAGAGAGAGAGAGAGAGAGAGAGAGAGAGAGAGAGAGAGAGAGAGAGAGAGAGAGAGAGAGAGAGAGAGAGAGAGGCCCAGGGCGCGGCGTGATTGGCCGATGGCGTGCATTGGGGACTGGCCCGGACTGGCCGGCATCGTTTCCGATTCCAAAGACGTCCAAGACTATCGACTTCTGACCCGTCATTATTGCCCTGTCGTTTTTCTTTCCCTTGTTTCTCCGGGGCGCGGCGGGGCGCGGCGGGCACAAGGCGCTTCGTCGGCGACGTCCCCGCGGCCCGTGAGCCGCGAGCCCCGCCTCTGATTGCAGTTGAAATATTAATCGGCCGTCCCCGGCCCGGCGTCCACGACGCCCACGAACATCTTTTCTATTTTTCCCCGCTCTTCCCTTATTCTTCTTCCCCAATTTTTGGGCCGCATTATTCAGGGCGATCACACGCAACGCCCGAGTCTCTCTCCGTCTCTCTCGCACTCGCGGGGCGTGCCTGGAGGGTGCGAGAGAGACAGAGCGACGAGCGCGACGTCCACGCGCGGAATCGGCCGAAAGGGATTTAGGGTGGCGAAGTTTGGGGTGGGGGCCGAAAGCGACGTCCAAAAACACCGGTGGCCTCCGTGACTTTGACTGAAAATCTACTTGAAACCCCTCTTTTTTTCGCAAGAAGAAGATTGGAGCGCGGCACCGCGACCGCGAACCCAGAACCCACACGACGGCGTGATTGTCAAGTGCACCTGTCCGCGGGGCGTCGCGACGAACGGACGACGCCGGGTTGAGGGAGGGGGAGGGGGAGGGAGGGGAGGGAGGGGGGAGGGGGGAGGGGAAGGTGCGTCGCGGCGCCGCGGGGCATGCGGGTAAACGGCTATACGGCACCAGCAGCCCGCAGTCACTTCTGTTATGGCCCAATGTACTGCTCGACGAGCGACAGATCGGTGTTTGTGTGTGAGTGTTTCTGTCCGCTGTCTACGCTGTGTGTGTGTGTGTGTGTGTGTGTGTGTGTGTGTTGTGTGTGTGTGTGTGTTGTGTGCATGTGTGTGCAAATATATGTCGTGTGTGCGTGTGTATGTCGTGTGTGTGTGTGTATATGTTTTGTGTATTGTGTTGGTGTATTGTGTTGGTGTATGTGTGTTGGTGTATGTGCGTTGGTGTGTGTAGTGTAGTGTGAGTGTGTCATTCCCTCGTCCCATAATGCGCCCTGTGTGTGCACGAAGGCCGGCACGGAGGCGTGCGTTCATTAAGGGCCTTATCGGGGGATGCACTGACATAAAAAATTGTATACAGTAGCTATGTACCATAACGACGCTGACATTGTAGATTTTCCGACCGATCGCCTCAACGACGATCTCGAGTTGCTCCTTGGGAAAACGCCGCCAACAAAATCCTCCGTTGCTCCAAAACTTCCAGGGTAGCTGACTCGACGAATAATTACGTTGAAGCAACAAGTCGACTCGTTGGGACTGGGGACCTCTCCGTTAAAGAAAAATCCTTAGGAAACTGGAAGAAAGGTTTTTAGAGTGTGAACTTCGGCACCACGTCAGAGAGGATGGGACTTAGAGGCGAGCCCAGCCGAGTCCAGCCGTGTCGAAGTGCCACCCTACATTATCTCTAGTTGCGCGAAACTTTTCATGACGCGGCGCAGGACGGCGTGCAAGAGGCGTACAGGGGCGAGGAGGTCGGGGGCGCGGCCAGCCGAGCGATTCAGACGAGCCCCGTCTCTCGCACCCTCACGGAGAGCCCCACGAGTGCGACAGAGACAGGGCGACCAAACGACTCTTATTCTGAATCGCTCGGCTGGCCGCGCGGGGTTGCATACCTATTAATGATGTAATAAAGACCCTTGTCACGCGACCCAATGCACACGTCGCGCCCCGTGTCCGTCCGTCCTTCCGTCTGTCTGTGTGTCTGTCTGTCTGTCTGTCTGTCTGTCTGTCTGTCTGTCTGTCTGTCTGTCCATCCGTCTGTTTGGGCGGCCGCATGCTCGCGTGCCGCAGCCACGCACGCGCACGCGGTCCTATGGTCGCGCGGCGCAGCAGATTCGGAACAGCGATAATTGGAGACGGTTTACATTCCGGACATCGGGCGCGCTGTTGGGCCCCGCTTCCTAGGGCTGTGTGAGTGTGTGTCCGTGTGTGTGTGTGTGTGTGTGTGTGTGTGTGTGTGTGCGTGTGCGCGTGTGACAGAGCGGGGGAGAGAGAGGAGGGAGAGAGGGGGGAGAGAGGGAGGGAGAGAGGGAGGAGAGAGGAGAGAGAGAGAGAGAGAGAGAGAGAGAGAGAGAGAGAGAGAGAGAGAGAGAGAGAGAGAGAGTAGTTGAGTGGTTGTGTGAACAGGTGCGGCGCTACCCGACATTGACAAAACATTGACGCTGCATGATGCGGTGATTTCCCAAACAAATCTTTCCCGGTACTTTGGGCCTCTTTTGCTGATCGGTGCGCGTGTCTGTGTGTGCAGATGTTGGTGACGACCTCGTTGGCGCTGTCGACCAGCGAGCTGCAGAAGGGCGCCTTCTCCCTGGTGCAGCGGCGGCAGAACGCGCTCAGCCTGAAGCAGGGCGCCGACGGCCGAGGCCACGGCTCCCTCATGCTGGGCCCCATGATGCCCGGGCCCTACGGGCCGTACCTGTGGTCGCCGCTGCTGCTGGCGCAGCAGGCCGCCGCCGTGACGCGAGGCCTGCCGTCGTCGCGGACCTCGCGGCCGCCGCGCAGCCCCTGCTCGCCGCGGTCCGTGTCCCCGCGGTCGCGGTCGCCGCTCGGGTCGCCGGGCAGCGCGTCCCCGGAGTCGCCCGGGCCGTCGCCGTCACCGGACTCGCAGGGCCGCATCGGCCGGTGGCCGTGGTACCGCAGCGCCTGGGACGAGCTGCGGCAGCGGCACTACAGCCCGCCGCACAGTGAGTACCCGGGTTCGAATCCCCGCACTTGCCGCGTTTTCCTCGTTCCGGTTTTACCCACTTGTTGCTCCCCCAGGATCCCGCGTCCCGGACTCCGAGAGCGATGACCTGGAGGAGGAGGAGGAGCGGCCGCTGGACCTGTGCACCAAGCCGTGCCGGCCGCAGCCCCAGCCGCCGAGGACGCCGAGGACGCCGAGAACGCCCACCGCCCCCATCTGGTCGCCCGCCTCGCAGTGCGAGATGGAGCACGAGCCCCTGACCCCCGTCTCCCCCGTGTCGCCCGTGTCGCCCGCCGAGGCGCGATGCGACGTCCGCCTCTGGCACCTCCCCTCCGACGGTGAAGTCAGCTCGGCGGGCAGCCCCCTCCCCATCCCCTACCCGTCGACGCCGCCCATCACGCCCACGCCGTCCAGCAGCCCGGCCACCAGGGCGCCGGCCTCGTCCACCACCACGCCGTCGGAGCGGCCGGAGCGAACCTTCCAGGTGAGTGCGTGCGGCCAAGGCCGCCAGGGCCACCAGGAAACAGATTCCGAAGGATCGCTTCGTCGCTCTGTCTCTCTCGCACCCGTTGGGACCGCCCCATGAGTGCGAGAGAGACAGAGCGACGATCGTTCGCCACCCCGCGGCTCCACGGCGTGAAAAACAAATCCCGCCCCGATAAAGGGCGATCGTGACGCGGCGACGTCGTGACCGCGGATGCGCAGAGTCACTCGGCAATCGGCCGCCTCCTCCACGCGGTCGTGACACCGTGACTCGCCCGCCGCCGCACGAAGCGACCAAGCGCGGCCAGTCACAATACCGGGCAAGCCGGGCACGTGGCGTCGCGTCGCGTGACGCAAAACGAGTCGGAACCGCGTAAACCACACCATAAAGCGACGGCGTTTCAGGTTCACGTTCGTTGGGCGAGCGGAAGGCCCCGAGGGGCGGCCGCCGAATCTGAATCCGAATCCGAATCTGGCCGAAAGGGTGGTTATCGGATGCGTGCCGCCGTGCCGCGGCCACGCGCGGTGGCGTTCCGGCATGGCGGGCCGGGTGGTTCCGGACCGCGAGCCAGACGGCGGTCTCGCTCGCTCTCGAGGGGCGGCCCGCGACAGTGCGACAGAGACAGCGCGACGAAGCAGTGTCCGGAATCGGTGGGCAGGCAGGGCCGTGCAGCGATTGACAGACGTGCTATCGTGATACCGCGGCCCGCCAATTGCTCCAACCTTTAGCACTTAGTCAATACGCCCCCTCCCCCGGTCCCTCGGCCCCTGGCCGCCCTCGGCGCCCTCGGCCACAGACGTGTATGGCCGCGCAGTAATCTTGATGCCGGCAGAGTTTCCCCCAGGGCTGCATGCCTGCCTGCCTGCCTGCCTGCCTGCCTGCTTGGCTGGCTGCATGCCTGCCTGCCTGCCTGCCTGCCTGCCTGCCTGCCTGCCCTGCCTGCCCCCCTTCCGCACGCCGCACCCGCTTATCATGATGCGGCCCACCGTTTTTGATGAACCGTGTTTTAGATGTCATTGGTAAAAGCCCACCCGCGCGCGCACGCCCCGCGACCAAATCAAGAGACCGCAATCGCGGGCCCCATCGCCTGTCCGGCCGGCCAGTCCGCCAGATTTCGGAGCGAGGGCGTGCCGGGCGTGGCGTGGCGTGGCGCACCACGGCACGGGCATTAACCTGATTCACACCACGATGCCACCACAGTGGCTTCGATGCGCCTTCTCGGGCGCGCGCGTGTGTATTTGTGTGTGTGTGTGTGGTCACTGCAGCAGGCGGCGCACACACTGCCAACGCGAGTCGAGTCACACCAGTCACACCCTTGAACCCTCTCTGGTCACCCTCCAGGCGCGCTTGTATCGCCTTTCGCCGCTCTGCCTCCCTCGCACTCATGGGGCGTCCCGTAGTGTAGTCCCGTGCAGGCGCGAGAGAAACAGAGCGACGAAAACGACTCTCGGAATCAGTCTGGCTCGGCCAGCTTGGCGGTGCCACGAGGTCCTTCCTCATTTCCTTGACGGCCTTCCCTCTCGCGTTCGATTTCGCCGCGGAATTATTAAGCGCAGCGTCACGAGGCCGAGCACCCACACACCAACACGTCGTGTACACGCACGCACACTCGCACACAAGCGCCGTTTGCACTTCGTCCGGCCTCCGGCGACGCACCGACCGGGCAGGCAAGGCAGGCGACTGCGTGGCAGGGGGGCCCCCCGAGAGGCCGTTTGGAGGCGGCCAAAAGCAAAGCGTTTAGCCCAGAGACGCTTAGGCTGCACCGTATTGTACACCGTGGACTTTCCCCGGAGGGGGGCAATCCTTGGTGAATTGTTCGAGCTGTTATCGGCGCCACGGGCGACAAATGCGCGTCTGAGGCTTTCGAACCGCCTCCCCGCTGTCTTCTGCCCACGCGCTGCGTGCGAGGAGACAGCGCCGCGCCCACGGCATGAAAAGGGTTCGCGCGGCGGCACGGAGAACAGAAACAGGCTTTACCGGTGCCTATTTACACCGGGGCCGTACTTCCGCGGCCCCGAAGGCAGATGGGTCTTGCCTGATTTTTGAATATTAATGGCCGCCCGGCGACAGGCCTCGCCGCGTTGCAGGGGCCCCTTCCGAACACGGCCTCGCCGCGCTGTCTCTCTCGCACCCAACGCCCCGCGAGTGCGAGAGAGACAGACGCCCGCCCCACCGTGAAACATGGAAAGGGGTTCGCGCGGATGGAAGGAAAAAGAAACGAGGCTGCCGGTTGTTATTTCAGGCGACGGTGAATAGGCAATGGGTGCGGTGTGCGCGAAGTGGTGATGCATTGGGGTGTAATGAACCTCGACGGTGGGGGGGTGGGGGGCGTGCGGTGTCAATATTGAATGGCCACACCGGCTGGCCGGCCTCGGCGCGTTCGCGAGGGACGCAGTGCACCAGCAGACTGATCCGAGAGTCGTTTTGGTCGCTCCGTCCCTCTCGCACCTGTGCGGAACACCCCATGAGTGCGAGAGAGACAGAGCGACGAAGACGACCGTCGGAATGAGTTTGCTGTCTACAGTGTGTGTCCCCGACTGATCGCCGTGTTTGTCCACAGTGCATGCAGTGCGGCAAGACCTTCAAGCGGTCCTCCACGCTCTCCACGCACCTCCTCATCCACTCCGACACGCGGCCCTACCCCTGCTCCTACTGCGGCAAGCGCTTCCACCAGAAGTCCGACATGAAGAAGCACACCTACATCCACACCGGTGAGTAACGCAGGGATTTCACTGCAGTCTGCAGGCCGTCCGCTCTGTCTCTGTCGCACTGCCGGGGCGCCCCCCTCTGGCCCTGCGGGTGCGAGCGAGACAGAGCGATGAGACACTCAGGGCGCTTGGAATGTCCGGGCGGGCCAGCCGACCGAGGCGCCCGGATTCCTTCGGGCTCGCCACGTCCGGGACGCGAGTGAGTGTGTATGAGTGCAGGTGTGTGTGTGAGTGTAGGTGTGTGTGTATGTGTGAGGTGGCTCCGGCTGCAGTCCGGGCGGGTCGGGTCGGGCCCCGATTTCAGCAGCAATCAGTGCAACGGCGTGCACCTGTCCAACACCTGCCGCCTGCCGGGCCTGCCGTTCGCCCCCACTCCTTGCCTCACACACACGGCGCCGCGCGAGGGGGAGGGGGAGGGGGGCTTCGGCGGCCCGCTCCGGCCGGCAGTCCCTCGGGAGCCCCGTCTGTCCATCCCGCCCGGCCTGGCCGGTGAGACGACGGCGGGACGGGGCAGGGGGCCCTGCCTTGCCCGGTGGCCGGTGCCGGGTCTGCCCGTTAGCGAGGCATTGGGTCAGGACGCCAGGACGCACGGCAGCCGCAAAAAGCAGCGAGCAGCGGCAACAGCCACCTGGGGCTGTGCTCGCTTAGCCCGCTGAGCTGGGGTCCTCGGACTGGGCCCGCGCGGCATGCCGCCGGCCACGCGACCGCTCAGGCCTGCCGGAGCCGAAACTGGAACTCTGGAACTCGCCAGCAACTGAACAGCGGCACTGTCCCCTTCTCTCGCACTCGCGCACTGACGCTAAGAGCGTGGACCACCAGCAACTTTCAACGCGACGGTCACATGCGTGTGACCCTACCAATGGATTGCTCTCCGAACGAGGAATCCATTGGTGGGGTCACACGTTCGGTTCGAGTCCCACTTAGCGACTCTGGAGCTCAAAACGCGTCTAGAGTTTTGGCCGCCTCCGCCGGTCTTCTGGCCCACTGTGCGCGGCTCCGCCAAGGCTCCGCGTCTAGCCGAGCGTCTGGCGGCACGCGAGCGCACGCGACGCGCACGCCGTCTTCCCTTGGTTGGCGGCGCGAGCGGCGCGGGCGGCGCGAGCAACAGGCGAGCCATTTGCCGCTCCGCTGCCTTGCCGCCCTGCCGCCTTGCCTTGCTCCGGCCGCTTGGCTGCGCTGCGGGCCGAGCCGAGGTCGGGGCAGGGCGGGCCGGCCGGGCACATGACCGAACAGCTGCTGACTGCCTGCGCCAGCTCCACCCACCCCCGCCTCGCCTGGCCCGCCTCGCGGCAGACGGGCCGACCGTTTGTTCCTGCTCCTCTTTTTACTGGACGCATCCTTCGGCCGGACACGCTCCGCTGCTCCGCTGCTCCGCTGCCCGCTCTCCCTCTCCCTCGCCTCGACGCGATGCACCCCGTCGCTCTCTTTTTATCGCCGCCTCCTTCCTCCTTCCGCGTTGCCAATCATGGTTTTTGTTTTTGTTGGCGTGCGCCGCGTTTGCCGGCTCAGCGCGCCGTGAAGCCTTCGGCCCGGCCAGGCCGGTGGGTGGGTGGGTGCAGGCAGGGGACGCGTGGCCGGCACGCGCGGCGCACGCCACGGCCTCGTCGGGCTGTCTCCCCCGCAGCCCAACGGAACGCCGTAACGCCCCATGAGTGCGAGAGAGACGGCGAATGAGTCCGACGGCCCACTATTTAGATCCACTCGCCCGCACAGGAAAATGTTAGACCAGTGGTTCTCAACCTTAGGGTCGCGACCCCAAGCGGGGTCGCGAAATTTTTTGAAGGGGTCGCGGCGATGCTGGGGTCGTGTTTTAGGCCGATTTTAAGCAGCCACTGCGTCTGATCCGAGGCGGGCATTTTGCTCCCTCAACGGGCAATCGGTCTTTGGACCTTCCTTTAGCATGCCTTTGTTACGGAGTGCAATTATCAGTTTAGTTTGGGAGCAGTATTGTCTCAAAGTTGGCCAAAAAGGTCCCAAAAAGCTTAAAAAACGTGTTTGGGCCGATTTTTAAACACCACTGCGTCTGATCCGAGGCGGATTTTGCCCCTCAAAGGGCAATTGGTCTTTGGGCCTTCCTTTAGCTGCCTTTGTTACGGAGTGCGATTTTCAGTCTTAGTTTGGGAGCATATTGTCTCAAAGTCGATCAAAACGGTCGCAAGTGTCTTTGAAAAATCGTTGTGACTATTTTTGGGCAACTTTGAGACAATACTGCTCCCAAACTAAGACTGATAATCGCACTCCGTAAAAAAGGCATGCTAAAAGGGAAAGGGCCAAAGACCAATTGCCCGTTGAGGGAGCAAAATGCCCGCCTCGGATCAGACGCAGTGGCTGCTTAAAAACGGCCCAAAAAACGATTTTTCAAAGACACTGCTGACCGTTTCGGCCAAATTTGAGACAATACTGCTCCCAACCAAGACTGATAATCGCACTCCGTAACGAGGCATGCTAAAGGAAGGTCCAAAGACCAACTGCCCGTTGAGGGAGCAAAATGCCCGCCTCGGATCAGACGCTGTGGCTGCTTTAAATCAGCCCAAAACACGATTTTTCATAGATATTTCTGAGCGTTTTGGCCAACTTTGAGACAATACTGCTCCCAAACTAAGACTGATAATTGCACTCCGTAACAAAGGCATGCTAAAGGAAGGTCCAAAGACCAGTTGCCCGTTGAGGGAGCAAAATGCCCGCCTCGGATCAGACGCCGTGGCATGTTAAAGGAGGGGTCCCGTGGGGTCGCGAAATTTTTCCTGGGGGTCGCGGAAATTTTTGGCTTCAAATTTGGGGTCGCGAGCCGAGAAAGGTTGAGAACCGCTGTGTTAGACCGCTGTGTGACCGCTGTCCTTTTTGTGTTGCAGGCGAGAAGCCCCACAAGTGCGTGGTGTGCGCCAAGGCGTTCAGCCAGTCGTCCAACCTCATCACGCACATGCGCAAGCACACCGGCTACAAGCCCTTCGCGTGCGGGCTGTGCGAGAAGGCCTTCCAGCGCAAGGTGGACCTGCGGCGCCACCGAGACACGCAGCACCCCGACGCCCCCGCCCTGCCGGCCGGCCCCACGCGCCGCGCGCCGCCGCCGCCACCCTTGGCGCTGCCGCAGCAGCTACCACAGCTACCGCCGCAGCCGCCACCGCAGCTACCGCAGCTACCACAGCTACCTCCGCAGCCACCGCCGCAGGCACCGCAGCAGCTGCCGCAGCTACCGCCCTCGCCACCGACGCAGCCTCCGGCGTCACCGGCGCCGCCGTCGTCGCCAGTCCACGACGTCTCCAGCAGCAGCTGAGCTGAGCTGCCCCGGCAGACCGTGTCAACGGACGACAACAACAAGCCAAAACCAAAAAGTCTTCTTCTCCGCGTCACGCCTAGCTCATCGTGTCGTGTCACGTTTGTGCCACACCGTTACCGTCGTGTTCCACCGTCACGTTATTGTGCCGCATCGTTACCGTTGTACTCGTCACGTTGTGCCACACCGTTACCGTCGTGCCCTGACTCACCTTTGTTCCCCGTCACGTTGTACCACGTTACCGTTGTTCCCCGTCACGTTGTTCCACGTTACCGTTGTTCCCCGTCACGTTGTTCCACGTTACCGTTGTTCCTCGTCACGTTGTTCCACGTTACCGTTGTTCCTCGTCACGTTATGCCTGTGCCCCACCGTTGCTGTTGTGTTCCTGTCACGATGTGCTGCGTCACCAGTCGGAACTCTCAAAAAACAGAAAAACAGGCCGGCCGGCCTGTTCTGCCGTTTTTCGAGAGCTCTGACCACCGTGTTCACGTATAGTGTCCGTTGCGAGCAATGCCCTTGCGTGGGCCATATGCACCCGCACCCAGCGAGCGTGTGTGAGTGTGTGCGTGTGTTCCCCACGTGTGCGCGTTGCGCGTTCCGGCCACGTTTCGCCACCTCTTTCACGTCGCACTGTGAATGATGGAGGCCAGCAGGCGCAGCAGGTCGTTTCCAAAACAATGCTCGCTTTGTTTTTCTCTCTCGCCCTGTTGGGCCGTGCCGGAGGGAAGCGAGAGAGACAGCGACGGAGTGACCCTCGCGGTGGGTTGTTCTATCGACCGGTGCGCCTCAAAGTTTGAAAGTTTGATAGCGCAGCCGCGGGTCGCAACGGGAGATCAAACGCGAGCACGGCGCGCGGCGGGGCGGGGTTCGTTTCCGGGACTCGACGCGCGGGGTGCGCAACCCTCCCCTGGGGAAACCACTTCCAAAACGGCCCGCGCGGCGCCACGCATTCGGGCATTCCAGTGTGCTGGAGCGTCGCTTCCAGTGTGCTGGAGCGTCGCTTCCAGTGTGCTGGAGCGTCGCTTCCAGTGTGCTGGAGCGTCGCTTCCAGTGTGCTGGAGCCTCGCTTCCCTGGCCTCCCCTCCTTTGTGATATCGTGTCTAACTAAACTTGCCCCTCGCCAAATCGGAACCACTCTGCGGCCCATCTCATTAGTCATAAGGAAAAGGAAACCAAAGGGATCCACCCGGCAGTCGCGCTGCCCGGCCATGCCTGGCCATGCCTGGCGCAGGGCGGCGCTCCGCGGTCTTGTCTTGCGGGAAAGAGAGTCGGCAACCCTAGGGTCGCGTCTCCATGACCACCCTTTTGCCCGTCCAGCTTCCCGACCGTAGGCCCTCTAGCCTCCATCGTGGCAGTTCTAGTCTTCGACTTTTAAAGTCTACATAATTTTTAGGAAAGGAACCAAAAAGAAACGTCTAGTGCAATCATGTTTTGGAACCTTTTTTCTCTCTCTCTCTCTTGTGTAAGATGCAATACTTTTGTCGTTGTCTGTACGAAACTTTGCGTTTCACCTCGCACGACGTTGTGTACATTGTAATTTCTAGTACCTCACACATGAACCAATTGCCCATATTGTAGCACGCACCCCTTGTCAATACCTGCACCGTGTTTTCGTCTAGTTGTCAGTATAGTCATGTCCAGCCCCTCATCATCGACATCATCACAGCTAGCACACCAAAGAGCTCGTATTCTAGTGTACCCGCCTGTACGTTCCCGTGCTTGGGGCCGCGAGAAGCGGAGAAGCGGATAAAAATCACTTTCCATCTGTCCATCTTCGTGTATCATTGATTTTAGAAAGTCCTTCGAAAGGATTTAACTTTATTTTTTATGTTTTTCTCTTAAGTTTAAGGTCTAGGACATAAAGTGAGGATGTGTACCATATAATAAGGTCCCGCGCCTGTATCTATTTTCGAAAGGGACGTAAATATTTCTTTATTTTGTAAGGTGTCTTTTTTGAAAATCTTTACACATGAAAACTGTCAAAGAAAACGTGAAATAAAAATTGTTACCTATTAACACCGTTGCAACCGATATGCCTCCGCACCTGCACTATTTTGAAGAGCCTGCTCACTCTCCGGGCGGGTCTATGGAGTCTAGCTCCAGTAGATGTGGGCCTCGTCGCTGCTGGTGCTACTGCCGTCGTCCTGGGGCGGTTTGGGCGGCGCGGGCCGCGGGGAAGGGGAGGGCGTTGGAGCGGGCGTGTCCTGCGCGGGCGGGTCCGGCGAGGGCGCCGCGACGTCTCCGGGCGCGGGGCGGGGCGGGGTGGGCGGCTTGGCGGTGGGCTTGGCGGTGCGCTTGGCGGGCCGCGGGGCGGCGGGGCGGCGCGGGGAGCACCGCTTCCTCGCCCTGGTCTGCCTGGCCTCCCTGGCGTGGTGCCGCAGCTCGACGGCGCTGGCCTCGACGGCGAGCCCGAAGGCCGCCTCGGCCGCCAGCACGGCCTCGTCCGCCGTCGCGGCCAGCACACTGGCGGCGTGGCTGCAGCGCTCCGCCTCCACCACCGCGCGCCCGGCGCTCTCCACCATCGCCTGGCTCATGGCGAGCGCTCGCTGCAAGCTGGGGAGGGGGGAAACAAGCAAACATGGAGCAAAAGTGAGCAAAATTAGCAAAAATGAGCAAAAATGAGCAAAAAAAACAGCACAACTTAGGCAAAAATTATCAAAATATAAGCAAAAATTAGCAAAAAAAAATTGGCAAAAAATTGGCAAAAAAGAAAACAGAAACAAAAAAAAACACCCCAAAAATGGGTATTTGAACCACGGTATTTGAACTCTGCGGTTTCCTCTTTCCGTTTGCCGGCGGAGCGCGGCGGAGCAACGCCCCGCGACGAGTGCGCCGCCGCGCCGCCGCCAAGTGCCGCAGCCATCAATTACCAAGGAAACCAATGTGAGACCGCCCTGAATAATCGTTCGCCAACTCGATGCGGCGCGAGGCGAAGCGGCGAAGCGCGAGGTGAAGCGAGGCGCCGCGCCGCACCGCCGCCGCGCGTCGATACGGGTCGATATCGGCGCGAGACGCTGCAAAATTGACACCGCGAAGCCCCGCCATGAGCCCGCCATGAGCAAGAGGAGAAACTTTGACGCGGGGCGACGCGATTCGGGGACGAAACGCCACCGCTCGGTAACAGCAACACCACCACCACTACCACCACCAACCACCACTCGCTGTAACAGCAACACCGCCACCAACAACACCAACAACAACAACAACAACAACAACAACAACAACCGCCAGCAGCAACAACCACGACAATCAAAACAGCAGCAACAACAACGCCGTCAACAAAGGCACCGCGAGTTGGTTGGTGGCTGCACTGACCCCACTACTACACTGTGGCCACGCACTAAGTCATCAGGGAGAACAACGTTTTGCAGCGAGCGCAACGCGCAACGCGCGCTCCGCTAACGCTCACCTCGCCGCGAAGGACGGCGTCATCCAGTGCTCCGCCTGCTCCGCGCTGCCAGGCTGCGGTTGCTGCGGTGGCTGCGGCAGCTGCTCCTCCGCCGCCTGCGAGGTGGGCTGCCGGCCCGCAGAGCCGCGCTCGGGTTGCCTACCCCGCGGCCGTAAGGCGCTCGCCTCCGGCTGCTGCGTCGGCTGCGTCCCCCGTCCCGCGTCTGGACCACCTGTACGACGCCCGGGAAGGGGAAGTTCAGTCACAGTGCACTGCAGTGCCGCGAGGGCAGTCACGATGCAGACGGACAGCGTTTTGTTGCTCTCTCTCTCTCTCGCACATACAGTGCGAGAGAAACAAAGCAGCGGTCGGGAATCACAGCCGGCTGCAGGCTGTTTCCGAGCACCGCTCTCGTCGCTTGGTCTCTCTCATGCCTATACGAGACGCCCCACGAGTGCGAGAGAGACAGAGCGACGGCAGCAATGGACGGCTGGGCCCCCACCTTGCACGTTGTCCACCAGGTCGCGCTGAGGCGCATCCGACGATCCACGGCTCCTTGTCACTCCCATTTGATCTCGAGCAGGCGATGCGATGCGACTTGAGTTGTGAGCGAGCAGAGCCGCAGAGCCGTTTGTTTGAACCTCAGGTTCTGACGGCGGCGCGCGGATTGTCGGACCCCCCGTCGCCATGGAGATAAGCCGGACTGCAAACTGGGATGGGATCAGCAAGCCGAGGCTAGCTGACCGCCAACGCTCAGGATCGGCGTTCGAATCCCACCACTTGCTTTATTTTTATTTTTCGTCTTCCCCCAGAAAGATAGTTAAAGAGAACCCGTTTTCCATTATTCACCAAACAGGTAAACCAAGTCGAACAAGCGGCCTTGTCCCTTGCACCGTCTCTGAGGGTGGGTGCGGAAATAAAAGTACATTGACATTGAAAAAGAAAAAAAAAGTTTTTTGCATTTTGGTCAGAATGCAGTAAAGAAACAGCAAACATTTTAACTGAGCGCTTTTATTTAGTTGGTACAAGCATACAGTATGGTACAAATACAGTATAATCAAAAACGTTAACAATGCCTAAATGTAGGCAAGCCACATGATACAGACTGCAAAATAAAATGAAAACAAACTTAAAATTAGATGAATAAAAATTTGACTATTTCAGTCTCTTTGTCAGATCTTCAGCAACCATTTTCAGTCTTATTGAAATAAAAACACTAAGTAAAGTGCGCAGCGAGTCATGGCAAGATGGAAAGGTACTCCTGATGCTAAATGCCATTTCTCCATAAATCCTGTATGCAAACTGGGTACACGGTTTGTTCAACCTCATAACATCATCATCAATGTTAACAAAGTGACTTTCAGCCCATTGTAAAGTATCATAAACTGACACAGTTGGGTGAAAGAAATTCTTCTTTCTCACAGCTTTTAACCACACTGTTGGAATATTTGGACTTATATCATCAGCTACTAATGCAGCTTTACACTTATCACAGTTATTATCATTAACCAACTTTGTCACTACTCGACTGGACAGATAATAAAGGCCTAACCCATTGATATCAGACAAATCTTCAGACTTCTCAATATGCACTGGAAAAAACTCTTTCCTGTGCTTAAGATACTCTGAGAAAAACATACCATTTTCAAAGTCCTTGGCCGCAAAATTAGGATGTAATAGCAGTGCGGTATTTATCATGCGAAGAAACTGGAGGACACTAGAAGGCTTTGGTGTTTCAGATGAAAGATCATTACAGTCAACAAGACCCTTGAGGTGATGTAAAGACATGCATCTAAAGGTAGTGGATCCAATGGAACTAACAATCCCTTTCCCAACATAGTGGTCATAAAGGGAAAATGCAGATGATGTGGTCCGTCGCACATTGCTCCAAAGGGATTCATCGGATTTCAAATCCGGACTTTTTTCTAGAACTTCAAAAATACAGGCAGTGTCACGAAGAGTTTGGATGTGAGTTTCCTTTGAAAAGAAGCCAGAAGAGTCATCATCAATGACAAAAGTCATTGCATTAACCCACATCCAAAGCATTCTGAGGATAAATATTTCCGTTTTTAAGGCAGGCATCTTATCATCTTCAGGGAACTCTCTCTTCCACTGAAACAGATAGGTTGCTATTAAATCAGCTGACAGAGTTTCACTCCCAATCAAGAACATCAAGTGTTCTGGTTTTAAAGTATTCTGAACCAACTCAAACTTTTCAACAATTTCATCAGGAAGAATAAAATTCTCCTGCAGTAAACTTTCACTGATCCTCTGAACAAGCTCATCAATGCCCTTGGCCAAAGTGACAACAACAGTTTGAAAATGTGGATGTTGAACTATACTATCTCCTTTGAAAATATTCTCATCTGCATGGTTATCTAAAATATCGAACCCACAACCCTCTCCAAACACGACATTAACTACAGTGAATTCATATTGAGCCAACAATAACATTATCTGATTTAAAACATGCCAAACAGCCCATCCATCTTCTTCAAAATTCACAAACATGAAACCAGCTAAACATTTCCATTCAACCGTAAACCCCTGGAGCATGAATACCACTACCTCAGAAGCCAGTTTCATTTCAGAGCAAAGTGGAGCTACAAAACCAGTGAAAACCTCAGAAGTGTTGTCAAATTGAATGAGGGTTTCAATGGGAAATACATCTACTGACATAGTGCACATCTGAGAGATTTGAGAGACTTGCTTAATAATGTAGATATTATCCTTCAGAACTCCAGGAGTAAAATTTAAGTGTTCAATCTTCTTGATCAGGTCTTTGAATGGAATGGTAGATAAATTTTCTTCCGCAATGTATTGCTGCATTCCGATGGAATGAATTCTCTCCAGAGATGCAAAAAATGGAGGTTCAAACGAATTGGTCTGGAAAAAAGAGAAGATAGTATCTTACACTGCTTAGAAAAAGTTTTGTTCAATACGTTGTTTCTTGGTTCAAAACTCACCCCACTGGACTCTGAGCGAGAAGCATCAGGTGGTCTTCCAACCGTTTTTCTAGGGCCAAGTGTCTTAGCTGCATTTTCTAAAAGGAATAAAATGGAAATTTAGGCACATAACAGATCACGTCAACGAGTCAAGAGCAGATATAAACGTTCAGATACCATTTAGCTGCAATTTCGGATTCTTCATTGTCCTTAATTGAGTACCTGGAACAGGTTTCCTATTTGAGGCCTTAACACTTGCTCTTTTCGTTGACAGCTGATCTGGGTCGAATTGCATCTAGATGGGAAAGAAATGGGATTAGTAGGAAAAGGGGAAACAATTTAAATTAACCCTCTTAGAGTTACTTGATGCTGTACCTCTATCGGCATGCATGTATTGATGGAAAGCAATAACTCATTGTTCCTGAAACCTAGAAAGCTCTCTCTCTTTACCAGCAATACCCTTCCATAAACATCGTGGATGTTCTTTCCACACTTTATTTCCAAATGGGAAGGTTTCTTGAAACACAACTGAACAACAAGTTTACAAGTTTGTTTTGGTTGTCTTCTGCTCTAATTTACTGCGTATACTGCAGCACCGCAGCAGTAACCAATGAGTGCAAATAGTCCTAACCTCAATAAAAAGTGTGCACCCCCGGCATTTGTGTGACTTATTTGTTTTCAAAATGAATCTTCTACCTAAATCACGAGAAGAATTCAGCAAAACAGAATATTGGAACACATTTTTCAAGAAAAGAGGAAATAAAGCTTTCGAATGGTACTTCTAGTCCTGGCTTTTTGTAAAATCTGTCTTATTTCAGGCTACTGGAATTCAAAATTGTGTGTTTTTGTTTGAAGGTATGGAGAATACCCTGAACTTTGTGGGCACCTGCACAAGTACATCAAACCTCAAGATTCAGTTTTGGTAGTGGGATGTGGCAACTCAAAACTGAGTTCAGACTTGTACGATGTGGGCTACAGGTTTGTTACACATGTTCTCTGTTTGTTGAAGACGTAACTGTCATAGCATTGAATCTTCATAAATTTGTGCATTGTTCCAGGAAAATTATTAACATCGATATCAGTGGGGTTGTCATTAAGCAAATGTTACAAGCACATTCCCAGCAGCGTCCAGATCTTCAGTTTGTGCAGATGGATGTGTTAAAAATGGAATTTGAAGACTCTAAATTTAATGTTGTTCTTGACAAAGGAACTCTTGATGCTCTCATGAGTGATGATTCCCCAGAATCAATTGATCGAATTGACACTATGTTTAATGTAAGTTTTGTCAATTTCCTAGGGTATTTTCATGTAATATTATCCTAAGAATTCTTTCATTTCCTCTGCTTTTCATTATTTCAGGAAGTTGAAAGGGTTTTAAAGGTCTGTGGAAGATGGGTTTGTGTGTCCTTGCTTCAAGACCATGTTTTGAGGGCAATTTTACGATTTTTTCCCTCACGAGGATGGATGGTGAGGATTGCACGATGCATTGAAGCTGAGCAAAAAACTGCCGCAGAAGGAGAGTCAAGTGGCCTCCCAGTGTTTGTCATAATTTGCACAAAAATGGTCAAAATGCCTAATTTTACTCCCGTATGTATCTGTTTGCTTCCTTTGTTTCAATCTGAATTTGAAATTTTATGTAACAGATTCTATGACTTTTAGGTGTTGGAGTTGCATCTCAGCGCTGATGGTAAGGGAGAGCGATTCTCCAGTCCTGAAGCTCTCACCGATGGAGTCCACACAATCCAACAAGCTGCACTAGTGTGCAGTCGTCTGGGCACTACCAATGTTGTCAAAGATGGTGAAATCTGCTTGGACCTCATGAAACCTGGTACTTCTTCACCACGATTTTCTGTATATGTATGTGATAAGCCTTGTGCCAATGAAGCCACTCGCAAATTTGCTGCTTTTGTTGTTCCTCAAGGAAGGTAGGTAATTTTCTGTATTTTTAACATTTATGAAATAAAATATAATTCTTATTCTTGCTTTTGGTAATGTTATGTGTTCTATTTCAGAGAAACAGAGTGGCTGTTTGGTACACCAGAGGGTAGAGCTTCATTACAAACCTCTGTTGGCTACGACAGGTTGGCCATAATCACAATGCACCGAGGTCACACATATCCATCTCTTGAAGAACTGCAGGAGGAATTATCTGAATGCATTCTACAAGTAGCACCTGCAGGCCACAACAGGAAGGTAATTAATTTTACATCTGAAAGTAATTAACATAATTTGTTTTCCTGTTTTGTGTATGTTTTTCTTAAAGATAAAAATAATAACTAAAAGTTTAAATGGATTTTAGGTTGTTAAATGACATGAGATCTTCTCTTTGAGTTCTTTCTTCACAATTTTATTATTATTTCAGATACCTTTCCTGTCAGCGGGGCAAGATGTTGGAGTGCGGACCATAGTGCACAAAGCCAATAGCCTCATATCTGGGGATATTCTCATTGAGGAAGTGGAAGTTGAAGATGAAGTTTTTCGCAGATTAATTTTCTTGAAAAACCCAAATGTTATCCAATCTGAATGTAGGCTTAAAAGAGGTGAGATTTGTATGAAACCTTTTCCATTTCTTACTTTCTTGTTTGATGCTAACTTTCGTTAAACTTTGCAGTCAAATCTAAGAAGGGGCCCATGAAATATGTTGTTGATACAACCTATTTAGGCTGTGATCATCATGTGTACATGGGTGTTGGAGTCTCACTGGCACTCAAAACTGCAATCAATGCTGGGAACATACTAATAATTGGTCTTGGAGGTGGTGGTTTGTGTACGTATCTACATAGCTGCTTCAAACAGGTAAGGTCCATCTTCTAATACTTTAAAAAAATTGTTTAATTGGTAGTGATTCTTGGTTTTCCTTGATTTCATAGTTAAATAAACTATCTTTATGGAATTTCTGATTGCAGGCAATAATTGAAGCAGTAGATATTGATCCCTTAACAGAGAACATTGCCAAAGAATATTTTGGTCTTCCAGTAAATGATAAAATCAAGTTGCATTTTGAAGATGGCTTAAAATATATGGATACCTTGTCAAAAACTGGTTAGTATTTTCTTTCTCTCTTTCTTCCTTTCCAGGCTTTTCATACTTTTCTAAATGGGTTTCCTATCAAATAATGTTTAATGATTGCAGGTAAAACATTTGATGCAGTTCTCTTTGATGTGGACAGTAAAGACTCATCTTTGGGTATGAGCTGTCCTCCAAGGGAATTTCTTGAAAGTGATGCACTAGATTCTGTTGTGAAATTAATTGGTGATCAAGGTAAGATCATTGTCATGTTTGCAAAAAATGCAAAATCTTTTGGCATTTGGTCAAAGTGCTGTACTGAAAAGTTGATGTCTTTTTCGCAGGACTTTTCATTCTGAATCTGGTATGTCGAGCTGAAGGATTACAGAAGGAAGTGAAGGCTATGTTAAGAAGTAAGTTCTCTTGCATTCGAAGCTACAAGCTTGAGCAAGATGTCAATGAAGTCTTATTCTGTTCAACTAAAGTTCAAAAGGACAAAGATGCATTGCGATTAGAAGTGAAATCTGCTGCGCAAAACTTTAATTCAATTGTAAAGGATAACAAAATCCAAAGTAGAAATGTTGTTGATGTCACAGATCTTGTGAAGAAATTGAACATATCTTAGGAATGTCTCCACTTACATATTTCAAACATGAATTTTCTCTTTTTACTGGGGTAGGAAATTTAGGAAATTTGATGTATAGGTATGATTACAGTATAAGACAAGCTTCAAACTTACAAAGAGAGAATGCGCTTTGCACTGAGAAGTAATGATGCTCCCAGTGTCAAAAATTTGATTTGCGACTGACTGGCTGAATTGCAAAGGTCTCCTTGACAAAAACACATGTAAACTTTACTGTGATTCCAAATTGTGTAGGCACAACGTTCTTCTCCATCTGATGGGCCTCGCTGTAGACACATTCTTTGAGTTGCCATACCGTAATCTGTGAACAAAATAAATTCAATTAGAATTTCAATTTGAAGTCCTAGTGTAAAGCAATAATCGGACTCTCACCGTCTTGTTTGTAAGAGCCTGTGCCCTCAATAACTTTGCCACACCAGCCGGATGCACATGGTATGGCTTCTACGCCCTGCTCTTGCTGTGCAGTCGTTGCATTAAAAGTAAATTGGTCCTTACAACTGCCTAAATCTCCTCTCGATCTGCACTGGAAGCATCGCTTTAGTGCTCCTGGAAAAAGTGAAAAACGTTATAAGATTGTGGTGGAAAATTGTTATAATCATCAAAGGGTAAACAAAGGCTTTTTATTTCTGTTCCCAGTTTTTATTGTTATTACTTCTAGTTACTATTTTGATAATTGTAAATTCTTATGACTATTTTTCTATGTGTTTTTTTTTTTTTCAAAATGTGCCATTTATTATCAAAACAACAATTGAATTATAACTATAATCATGCCAACATAAAGCAGCGTAATTTCAATGCACCCTTTATCGCCGTCCGCGGACATGGAACACTCGATACGCCTAGTCCGAGGAATAGAACAGGGAATGTAAGCCAGGCTAGGCAGGCTGAGCACTCCAAAGTAGTGCCTTAAAATGTCATTGCCACTGCCTGGTCCTGCAGACTGATTCCGAGAGTCGCTTTCGTCGCTCTGTCTCTCTCGCACTCATGGGGCGTCCCCTACAGGTGAGCGATTCTCACGTTTCGGGGTAGTTTCGTTTCTTCTGACTCCTGTGCCCAAACGAGCGCAGATATCGACATGGGGTTTGTTTCTGATGTTAGGGAGGGCCATTGCCCACTAAACGCACACATTTCGAAAAGTTCACGTTCGTTGGATTGGTCTACGTAGCGTTTGGAATACCCCAAATGTAACTTCCGTGATTGTCCAAAGAGAACATACTCGAACTTCCCGCCCCCAGTGTGGCGGTGTGGTTCGAAAATGCTGCCAACTGTCGATGGGGATTAGAAGCTTGGCATGTCTCGAGCTAATTTCAACCGAAGACCAATACGCCAGACTTCTTTCAAAGGTACTTATGCTGCAACGAAAAATGTCCTCCGTATATTCAATTTCACTACACAAATTTCGAAAAGGCAGCTCTGGACTTCTCCCCAAGCCAAACTTTTAACTTTCCATGACACAAGCCATCAAAGTGGAGTCCCTGGGATATAATTGCATGGGTCGCGGAAATCTAAGATGCTGTACACGGTCTCAAAGGGGGCTAGAGCATTATAAAATGGCGTGTATCAACAATTACCTGTAACTTCCGTGGCACCCTTTACCCAATGTTGCAGCAGCACTAGGTGAAAAAATTTTCCGCTTAAATGTCGGGCTTAGAGTATCATTTGACCCTGGAACGACTTTTAAGCCACAGCAAGCCCGACTCAGCCGTTAAAGCCGATTTTCACACTTTGTAACTTCCGTGATAACGTAATTTCCGTGATCAAAACACTCACTAAAACGTATGGGAATACCTTATGGCTCATGTTTTTAGGAAGGTAGTACAAGGTCTTTACTATAAATACCATTGCCATAACTCTAGTATCATCCAGGACCCCAATAATCAGAAAAACTTAATTGGATATTTCTCACTTTCGGCAAATCAGAGACGCCAAAACTACCCCGAAACGTGAGAATCGCTCAGGTGCGAGAGAGAGAGAAAGACGACTCTCCGCCTGGGCGTGAATGACGTGTGCCGTTGTTGTACCCGCTGCCATCTGGGCCAGCAGGGCGCCACTCCGACTTACCGTGTGCTGTGCCCGAGGCGAGTAAAACTAAGACCAGACTAAACGCTACTATCACAGGCTTTTGAGACATGGTGGAGGCGTCCTGCTGGCGCGAATCGAAGGCTAGAGGCCGCCCAGAAGACCACAACAAACACAAGTCTCCATTCCCTCGGTGTCAGGGGCCAGGCCAGGCAGCGCGGCCGTGAGCGAGCGAGACTCTGGAGAGAGAGTGTAGGCTCTCGGCAGACAACGCCGCGGTACGCGGTGTGCCGAGGGCTCTCTCGCTCCTCTCCTTCGCCTTTCTCCCCGCTCCGGGGCCCCGCTGGGCCGCGACTCCGGTAGTGGGGGCCGCGGGGGCGTGGGGGGCAACGGGCAGCAGGTGGGGGCACGGGGCACAGCACCGTAGGCACCGCCGGGCGCAACAGGCGACTGGCTGGCCGAGAAGCAACAGTCCGTCCGGGCTAACTTGCGGCGGTGTCTTCGGCCGGCGTCCGCGAGGCGAGACCTCCGCGCCCAAGTCTCAGGATAGATGGCCCCGACTGCGGACTCAGGCACGCATCGCCGCGAAACGCGCCCGTCACGAAGCGGCCCCTGGTGCAGGCTCGTGCCCTTCGGGACCTTCCACGCCTGCCACTCTTCCACGGCGGCGAGCTGCTGCTGCTGCAGACTGACACCGACAGTCGGTTTCGTCACTCTGTCTCTCTCGCACCAACAAGGGACGGCCCTTGAGCGCGAGAGAGACGGAGCGATGAAGACGACTTCCGGAAGCAGTGTGCCGGGAGTGCGTCCCGCGGCGGCAGGGGGCAGGCCGCGCCAGGCCCTCTGCCTCCCACACTGGATGGCGGCACGCCGGCAGACTCCGCCGATAACCACGACTAGATGCCTCGGCGCTCATCTGTAGCCCCGCCCTCCCCTCCTGCCTTCCCCGCGACCCCGCGACCTTGGACCGGGCGGACTCGCAGTAGACAGAGACCGAGTACCGGCGGCGCCGAGGCGGTGCCGACGCCGCGATGCGATTGGCCAGGATGGCGGCTCCAAAAAGGAACTGGCGTCGCGGAGGGCCTCTCGGCGCCTCTCGGCCTCTCGGCGTCACTCCATCGGCGACTCCAGCCTCAGCCTCAGCATCCGCAGCCGGAACAGTCCGCAGCAGCCCCGCTCCGAACCCAGCCCCCACAGCCCCAGCACCGCCCAGCCATGACGGCAGTAAGTCCACCCTGCTTACATCCTGCAGACTGATTCCGAGAGTCGCTCTGGCTCTGGCCCTCTCGCACTCATGGGTCGTCCCTTGAAGGTGCGAGAGAGACAGGGCGACGTAAACGACCCTCGGAATCGGTCAGGCCAGGCCCTCCAAACTGCCCCCGCTGCGTCTCCAGCACCGGCTGCTGCAGGTGGCGATGCTCCTCGCCGCGGTGGCGGCGTGCGCCCTGGCCGCGCCGCAGCTGGTCGTCCAGCCCCTGGACCAGGTGGTGGACCCGGCGTCCTCCACGGCCGCCCCGGAGGCCGAGACGTCGACGTGGAGCCAGGAGCAGGAGAGCGACTGCTCGGAACAGATAGGGCAGGTCGTCAACGGCGAGGTCGTCAACACGATGCGCAAGTACGACGTCGAGAAGGTGGGTTGAACCCTCGGTTGAACCGGACCGCCACCGCTGCCGAGCGATTCAGAAGAGTCCTTTCGTCGCTCTGTCTCTGTCGCACTCATGGGGCTCTGCGCAAGGGGGCGAGAGAGACAGAGCGACGAAACGACTCTCCTGAATCACTCGGCTGGCGGAGGCCGAAGCGCCCGCCTAGTCGAGGGTAGGCAACCCGCCGGCCGGAGTTTGTGGCCGAGCTGCCTATCCTCGACTCGGCGGGCGCTCCGGTCGAGCGATGCCGCCGCACAGTGGGCCAGAAGAGCGGTGGAGGCGGCCAAAACTCTAGACGCGTTTTGAGCTGCAGAGTCGCTAAATGGGACTCGAACCGAACGTGTGACCCCACCAATGGATTGCTCTCCGAACGAGGAATCCATTGGTGGGGTCATACGTTCGGTTCGAGTCCCATTTAGCGACTCTGGAGCTCAAAACGCGTCTAGAGTTTTGGCCGCCTCCACCGGCTTCTGGCCCACTGTGCGCCGCCCGCACCCCTCTCTCTGTCTCTCTCGCACCCGTGCGGCACACGCCATGAGTGCGAGAGAGACAGCGAGGAAAGCGGGCGGCCGAATCGTCCGACTAGCCTCACCTTGCTGCCCTTCCCACTCGTGCAGATCCTGGAGGAGCACGGCGGCGCGGCGGGCAAGCTCAACGTGACGAGGAACTTGGACGTGCCGGAGTTCCCGGTGAAGGACCCGGCAGAGAAGCCCCTGCAGGACACCGACGACACCACGTACTACGTGTACGACTACAGGTACGTCGTCGAAGTGGGCTGGAAGCAAGCTGGAAGTGGAGGGACCGTACCACAGTGGGCCAGGAGACCGGCTCCGTCGGACAAAACTCTAGACGCCAAACAGGAGTCGAACCGAGCGCGTGACCCCACCAATGGACTCCTCGTTCGAGGAGCAATCCCGTTGGGGGTTGTCCCGTTTAGCGACTCCGAGCTCAAATCACATCCGGGATTTTGACCGCCTCCACCGGTCTTCTGGCCCACTGCGGGCGTTCGCTCGAAGTCGCCGAGTGCACTGACGCCCCGTGTCCTCCACTCCAGGCGCACGGACTACAAGACGTTCGTCCGCGTGGAGCACGCGCTGATCCGCCACAAGGGCAAGCAGGACCAGTTCGAGGACGTGCGCGGCGAGCTGTACTGGACGCCGCCGGACTTCTGCGGCAAGCTGCGGCACGCCACGTACCGCGTGGACCCGGAGGGCTTCGCGGCCGACGTCACCCTGGAGTACTGCTTCCTCAACGCGGAGACGCTGACGTGCGCCCTGCCGGCCACGTGCCACTCCAACGACACCTACATGGCCTGCGTGGCGGCGCCCTCCAACGCCCTGCTCGCCTCCCTCGTCGGCTAGCCTAACAGTTTTGTCTTTGTCTAGCTCTAGCCGGAGGGCTAAAATTTTACCCTGTTTATTTCCAGTGCAGTGCCAGTGCTCCGAGCCTACTGTACCGCTCTGACAAGTCATAATAAATCGAAACGCTCGTACAGCCGAGTTTGCTTTTTTTTTTTCCTCCGGATCGTGACAGCACTGTTCCATCATCCATAGACGATATTTGTTTGCACGCTAAGTCGGTGACGTCACGGCCACGGCCGCGCAAATGTGCACCCAAGGCGTTCTGCGAACCGGACTGGTTTTCCCCGCACCGCCGTTCGGTGGTGGCCGACGTCGATCGGGACGGGGGGTCGCCCCCGCCTGGAGTCTCATTCCAAAGAGTCGCTCTGTCTCTCTCGCTCCCCTACGAGTCGCCCTGCGAGTGCGAGAGAGACAGAGCGACGAAGAAGCGCTCGGCATTGCAGCGCGCCGCCAGCATCCTCGAGGCGACGACCGCCAAGTGCCAGGCGTGCCGCACAGTGGGCCAGAAGCCGGTGTGGAGGCGGCCAAAACTCTAGACGCGTTTTGAGCTCCAGAGTCGCTAAATGGGACTCAAACTGAACGTGTGACCCCACCAATGGATTCCTCGTTCGGAGAGCAATCCATTGGTGGGGTCACACGTTCGGTTCGAGTCCCATTTAGCGACTCTGGAGCTAAAAACGCGTCTAGAGTTTTGGCCGCCTCCACCGGCTTCTGGCCCACTGTGTGCCGGGCCGGCCGCCCAGCAGCCCGGGCCGCCGCTGCCAGTGCCATTGCCAAGGCGAGGCCGGGCAAGGCGGCAGTCCAGTCCAGGCTCCGGAGCAGCCCAGACCAGCAGCACGCCAGCACCATGCGACACTCCAGCCTCAAGGTAGCCGACGGCCGAGTCAGAACGCTGTTCAAGTTCCTGGTTGTCATTTGCGGGGCGGACATCGACCCCTCCTTTTGATTCCATCCTAACTCGCCAGAGCGCTAGGAGGGCATCCTAACTCGCCGGGGCGCTAGTAAACTACCTTAACTCGATAGGTTTTGTGTGAGTTAGGATGGTGTCCCAGCGCCCAGGCGAGTTAGGGTCGTTTTCTTAGGAGGGGCCGACATCACTGCAGGTTAGCTCCGGACCCGGAATGAAGACTCTAAAATCGAGACTCCTTTTGCGACCCGCCGTGTGTAGGTGGTGGTGCTCTTCTTGGCGTCGGCCCTGTCCTGCGCCTCGGCGGCGATGTGGGCCGTGCAGCTGAGCTCCATGGGCCTGGTCAAGGGCGAGAACGACCCGGCGTCCACGCCGCCGAGCGCCGACACCCCCGCCGTCGTGGACCCGGCCGCCGAGAAGAGCTGCTCGGACCAGATCGGCAAGGTGGAGAACGGCGTGGTCATGAACACCATGCCGAAGTACGACGTGGCCAAGGTGGGTGCACTGCACAGCACTGCAGGCCGGATGGGTGGCCTACGCACCAGGCGTCCGGAGGGCCGCGCAGCAGACCTACGATTCCGAGAGTCGTTTTCGTCACTCAGTCTCCCTCACACCTGTACGGGGTCTTACAGGTGCGAAAGAGACAGAGCGACAAAAACGACTCTCGGAATTGCTGTGTCGTCTGTTGCGTTCGTTCGGCGTCCACAACATTTTCATTCCTTCTCGTGCGGCAGCTCCTCGAAGAACACGGCGGGGCGGCCGGGAAGCTGAACGTGACCTGGAACAGAGAGGTGCCGGAGTTGCCGGTCGCCAGCACGGAAAGCCTGCCCCTGGCGGACACGGAGAACACCACGTACTGGGTCTACGACTACAGGCAAGCGCGAACTGACATATTTACATTTCTTTTTCCTTCCTTCCCCATTCCCGTTCTCACGCGAGCACTCCGTTCTGCCATGTCCTCCAGGCGCACGGACTTCAAGACGTTCCTGCGCTTGGAGCACGGGCTGATCCGCCACAAGGGCAAGCAGGACGAGTTCGTGGAGGTGCGCGGCGAGCTGTACTGGACGCCGCCGGACTTCTGCGGCAAGCTGCGGCACGCCGAGTACCGCGTGGACGCGGAGGGCTTCGCGGCCGACGTCACCCTGGAGTACTGCTTCCTCAACGACGAGACACTCACGTGCGCCACTCCCACCTACTGCCACACGAACGGGACCCACCAGTACTGCGTGGGCTAGGTAGACCTGGTCCTTCCTTGGCACCAGTTCCTTGTCTTTCGGTTTCTTGTTTGTTTGCTTTTTATGGGGAGGGGGAAGAGCTTAAATTGAATCATCATAACATTTAGTACGTTTATTGAAATTTCCATATGAAGTCAAGGAACAAACAGCTTTTTAAGTTCGCTCATCAGCTTGATCCTCGCTGCCTGAACTTTAACTTACAAATAAATACCACAGAGTGTGTAAACAAAAGCTAACTAAAGGGTTCACAAGTGTGCTTCCCGATTCTGTATCTATAAGATACAACAATTCATAAAATCAAAAATACCAACAGAAAAACGTTGGTAGAAAAATATTATTAAATCATAACACAACATCAGGACAGATTCAAAACAACAGTGGCAACAAATAAAAATAGTCAAAAGATTTAAGTAAGCATTTTTAAGGTCAACTGAGAAGCAGGCCCAACTTCCACAAAAAAAGTATTGTGCCAATTTCTTACTTTTATTTAGACTGATTTTCACACAGTTTTCTGATTTTCTTTTTTGCTCTCTTTTGTGACAAATTTTGTAGGAATTTGTTCATGAATGAAATTACATATGCTTTGGAAGCAAGAGTATTGACCAGTGCAAAGTCTAATATTAAAATAAATAAAATAGTCTCTCCAGTTCATTATGCAATCTTTCACCTACTCACACTCATATATCACAATGTGCTTAGAAATATCTCTATCTAACTACAACATTGACAATTATCAGAAAATAGTGGGGTACCAACTGAAAATTCACCTACGACACGAACAATGGAAGATAGCTGAATTGCTGGGAATATTTCAATTGGCATAAGTTACCCTGCGGCAAATGGAAGTAAACGGAAAGAAAGCTTTTACTTCTTTGTACTTGAAATTCTGATCAAACAGAGAAGTGTGATCAACAGCTTGAGAATGTCTGCAACACATATCATTTTTACAATCTACAGGTAAGTCTTGAGAAAGAGGATATGGTTTAAATTTTTAAAGCTCTGAGTTATTCTAAAATACTCTTTGATGATAGGATAGAATGAATGACATTTTTAAATCATTGGCACATATCACTGAATTATTCTGTTATTTCTTTTTGTCAGCAGTTTTCCCATACATAGAATCCAAAAATAGACCAGCAAAGACAATAATGGTGGCAATCCACTGTCTTGGAAGGAGTTTGTTACCAAACAAAAATACAGACCCTAACACAGTGAAAAACTTTCTGGATGTGGTGACAATAGAACACGGGAGAGGACCAAAATCAGCAACCATAATGAATATGAACATTTGACCTAGGGCACCAGCAACAGCAAGTAACAGGAGATCCCAGACAACAACAGGGTGTCGATCGACGAAGCCAAGGAGCTGCGTAAACTCTCCAGTCAGAATGATAGCAGGGCCAACGTAAGCAACAGACCAGAAGTTCATGTTTAGCATCATGTGGCCAGATTTAGAGCTGTGTTCTGCTCTCATTCGATCCTGAATAGCACCTATAACAAAAATAAATTAGGTTAAGGCTAACATTTTGACTATTTACATAGGAAAACAACAGCAGATACAAGGATGACATACCTGTGAGACCGTCCATCGTCAAGGAGAGGAACACAAGAACTTCACCGAATCCAATGAATGAACCATCTGACTGAGCAACTGACTTGTTTGAATCTTTGTACATGAACATGATAATACCAAAGACAACCATCAGCACAAATAGATATTTTTTAAGAGGGTAGGACTTGCGAGCTAGAAGAACGCCCAGAATCATGACTGGGATGGGCTTGCCAGACTTTCCGATAACTTGCGTTGGGTAACTGACCCACTGCAGGGCCATGTTACTGCAGACCATGGCCAAGATATAAGTCATTGAACTCGCGGCATAGTAGAAGGTCCTGGTGGTATCTTCACCTTGCTTCAAAAAAGTGGCCAGCATCATTTTGGCAAAGAGGTAGTTGACAACACATTGGACAAACACAAGTGCCAGGACGCACGTGAATCGCTCCTCATTTTCGCCTTCCCCGTAAATTCCTTTGGTGAGTCTTTCTTGTAAGATACCGAAGTAGAAATAACAAGTAAATATTCCCACAGCACTGATCGCAAACTTTGTTCTCTTTTCCATTTTGCTTTAAGTTGAAACCCCACTAGCAGACGTGTCGGCTGCTGATGTGTCTGGTCGCCTCGCCTCGTCGCGTCCCTGTGTTTTGCTGTCAAAGCAGAAGCAGAGCTGAGAGCAGCACTCGCCCGGTTCAGAGGCGCGACCTCTGACGTCAAGGAAAGACGAGGATCGCGTCGACCCGCAGGTTTGAGAAAGTGAGACAGAAGGTGGAAAAACAGGAAAGGAAAGTACAAACTCCACTCGTCTGCTCTCTATACAACAAAACTTGGACCACGTCAATGTAAGTTCTGTCTAATTTTTCATACGTCAGGCAACTGTGACAAACGCAAGATAATCTAATAATTATTATCCTTCATTGATAAGCCCTCAAATTGTTCCCAACACAACCCTTTAAAATAGAGAAATGTATCTATTCAATGAAAAGGTAAAAGCCTAGTTTATTTTTCTGGCTCTGGGCATCACTTGGATACTCTTCAAGATTCGATGTTGGTAATGCATACTTCAGAGCACAACCCTTTTTGGCGCCAAATTTAAATGCCCGCTTGAAGGGACTTGCAAGTAAAGCGTGGTTTTATTTTGCATTTAATTTATTATCACAAAATATTTTTTTAAATGTTACAAACATAAACAAGTAGATCATTACACAACTATTTACATAGATAACTACAAGTAACATAATAATAATACTTGTCAATGTTCATCAAGGCCAAAATTTTTATCAAACTCCTCTTCTGTTATCTGAAAAAAAAAATGGGAGGAAAATGAATGAAAAGACTTGCCACAGGTTCTAATAATATTTCACTGTTATGAACACATACCTTTTTCTTCTTTAACTTCTTCATGAGTGCAACATCATTCTTAAGTTCTTCCAACTCTTCAGCAGTCAACCCCTTTTTCCTTTTCTTAGTTTCAATGCCCTGGGCTTTTAACTCTGCTTTCTTCACTTTACGTAACCTTCTTTTTTCCTTTCTTTCTTCTTTTCGAGCTTTAGCAATGGACCATGGTTCCGTTTGCTTTTTATGAGATCTCTGTTGATTTTTTGATGGCCACTTGCCAGTTTCTTTGTATATGGTTAACTTATTTTGTCTTGAAGCCTCTCGCTCACTATTCTTGAAAGGTATGCTGTTTAAATCAACATCCTCCTGAACAAAGCCTGACGTGTCAACATCCTTGAGCTCTGGCATCTTTGGTAACCGAAGTAATCCAAATCCAGTAGCTAATGAGGCTAAATCAAGATCTATGAACAGGAAAAGACACATGCAAAAATTATAATACCAATTCTATAAAGATATTACAGGATGTTTAAAGAAAGAAAAAAAAGAATCCCTCTCAACTATGAAACAAACCTTTCACACGAAGTAGAATATTACATTCATGCTTTTTATAAGCCTGAACAAATGAAACAAATGCACGTTGACCATTTTCTAAAATAGCACGGTCCAATTTTTGAATATTTCGTGCAGTCTGTAGGACATTGTTGGGATCAGAAATGGAAACTTCTCTTTTGATGAGTGGAACCTGGGAAGTCATCAAACCATAATAAAGCTATATATATTAAATTTACCTTGGTAAATTACTATTTACAGAAAAAAAAAAGGTTAGTTTGACTTACATTTTGGTTACGAAGTATGAAGTCCACATAGGCATCTTCATTCGGCATCAAAAAGACAATGGCAGACCCACTTTGTCCTGATCGAGCTGTGCGTCCACAGCGATGAACAAATGCAGAAGCAACCTTTGGAACATCACACTGCAAGACCCACTTCACAGCTGGAATATCTACACCTCTGGCCATTACATCAGTGCATATGAGAACACCTAAAAGTTACAGAGAGATTAATAATATTAAGAATCGCATGAGAGATAATTAAAACATACTAAATTGAAGTTACAACCAACCTTTATCAGCTGCTCGAAATTTATCAAAGACTTTGTATCGAGCATCCTTCATTTTCCCATGAATGCACAGTACTGGCAAATTTGTCAAAACCCTACAGAAAACCAGAAATAAATGGTGTTATGGTTACAGTGAGTCAGGTTTATAACAGAAATTTGGTTGCATAATGGTTACAACAAAAATCAAGGTGAGACAGTGCAGTTTTTGGAAAGTCACCTTGCAAGAATTGTAGAGAAGTAGCTGACACAAGCACAAGTTGCCATAAAAATCATGTATTTCCCAGGATCATCAGGATTTTGGGCAGCTTCTGATAATATAAATCCCACTATAGCTGCTAATTTATTTTGTGGTTCAACAATTGCATAGTGATTAGTAAGAGTGGCTGGAGTACAAATATCTTCACTGAAAAAAAATAAATCAAATCATTATTTAGAAATTGACCATGAAAAATTTCACAGGAAACAAAAGTAAAGAAAAGAAACTTACTTTGCTAATCCCTTTTCTCTTACAGTGACTTGAACAGGATTGCGCATTCCCGCCCGCATCAGTGTTTCAACATGCTTTGTCTGGGTTGCAGAGAAAAGACCTGTACGTCTCAGACGAGGAAGATGCGCTAAAATAGTATTTAAAGACCGCTCGAAACCAAGGTCAAGGAGACGATCAGCTTCATCCAAAACTAGAAATTCCTGCAATATTCATACAATCATTTTCAAAATCACATCATGAGAACATAATTTAAAAATCTGTCCACATGAAAAGTAGAAAGTAATAAGCAAATCTTACCAGTGACTTCAAGGCTGGTTTTAAACTGACATCATTGCGATGTTCTAGAATATCTTGAAATCTGCCTGGTGTTGCAACAATAATATTCGCTCCTTTATCTCTCAATGCTGAAACATCAGCTTCAACAGAATTACCACCAAGTAGAAGTAAAGACCGGAGTTGTCGGTCAGGGTGTACTGTGCGAAGGGTCTCTAAGAAATGATTTAACACCTCAAATATTTGTGTTGCCAATTCACGAGTGGGTGAAATAATCAGGGTACCAACTTCAAACTCCTTCCATTTTTCCTGGCGTTTCTGTAAGAGAATCTCACATTAATATTTCATTTTAGCAGCATCTTGAGTTCAAAATGACTGACATGAATGTTACCATCATGAGTTCCATAGCTGGTATTAGAAATGCTAGAGTCTTTCCACTTCCAGTGACTGCCTCGGCTGCAACGTCTTTGCTGGAAAGCAGCAGTGGAATGCAAGCGGACTGAAAATAAAATAAATACAAACATGCAGTGTAGGTGGCAACGATTTAAGACCACTTGTTCTTTTATGAAAAAATCAATCATTTTATCAGAATTAGACATGCACCGACAGTTGCTCATCGTGCATGAGGCTAAAACATTTTCTAGCCAACAACACATGTATTGATAGGTTAGATGTCCCGACAGTTTGCTTCTTAGATATGACATACCTGAACTGGTGTCATAGTATCAAAGCCAAACTTCTTTACTGTGTCAAGACACACTTTGCTCAGCTCGCACTTTAATTCTGTCCATTTTAACTGCATTTTTGATGCCATTGTGAATTAAGAACCTTGTGTTGTTCACTCAAACAACAACAATAACAAATAACAACATCAGCCGATGGGTATGAAAAATTGTGTTCAGTACTGCGAATAACGGGAACAGCGCACAGTGAGCGTGCGTATAGTCACGGTCTGTTGTCTCTTTTTTCTTTCAGCAGTTTTTCAGTCAGTCGCACTCAGCTGATGCCGGTGTTGCCTGCTTCTTCTCCCTAGTCGGGTCTGCCGAACTGTAATCTGCTGAATGTAGCATCTGTGGCTGAATCTAGTGTCTGAGATTTTTCTCTCTAGCCTTCGCACCGCGTACGCGTACACCGTACTCGCGAACGATGTCTAGATTCCGAATCCTGGCTGTCAGCCTAGGGGCTGTCGGTGCAGGTGTCTTGTATTGCAGCACCAATGACAACAACAAAGCCTTGCCCTTACTGGCGGCGCAGAAAATTTCGAACGAGCCTTCGCACTCGTCCAAGCTGCACGATGAATACCGCATTACGAAATGGGACTCCAACTGGGACAGGTAATGTTAACGATGCAGCGCTCATTTCTTGTCAGAGACTGATGTGCAACTCATTCATTTCACCTTTCTGATTTCAGGAGGGATCCTTCATTTTTGGTGAAGCCTTCAAAGGGAGGAGCAGATGATGAACGATACGCTAAGGAAGTTTCTGAGAAGAAGCCAAAAGCAACACGCAATCTAATTCTCATTCGACATGGCCAGTACAATCTTGCCGGTAAAACAGATATTGAGAGATATTTGACTGATAAAGGCAAGTTCTTCCCAACCCTTGTACTTAATGTATTGTATTTGGAGTGTAAATCCTTTTTAAGTAACTTCTTTGATCCTAACAGGTGTAACGCAAGCAAAGTCCACAGGTGATAGGCTTGTTGCACTAAATCTGCCATATGATCGAATGGTTAGATCCACTATGACTAGAGCTCAACAAACTGGAGATCACATTCTCTCACGAATGAAGATGGACTCGCTAGTCATTGAAAATGATAGTATGTTGGAAGAGGGGGCACCATTCCCTCCAGAACCAAAAATGAAATCATGGGAACCACCAGAATACGTAAGTTCAAAACCAAAACCTCTCTGTGTTGTTCCTCTATTGTCAAGACATACCGTGATTCTGTTTTGTGGTTTTCAGCTATTCTATCAAGATGGTTCCCGCATTGAGGCAGCATTCCGCAACTACTTTTACAGAGCCGACCACCGTCAAGAGAAGGATTCTTATGACATCATTGTTTGTCATGCCAATGTGATTCGCTACTTTGTCTGCAGGTATTTGTTGCTATATTGTCCTTTTATCCATTTTTTGTGCACCGTTTTCACCTACTTTTGTGCTTTCAGAGCGCTTCAACTTCCTCCAGAAGCATGGCTTCGTATTAATTTACACCATGCAAGTATTTCTTGGGTACGCATCCGACCTAACGGGCGAGTTGGATTATTGACCATGGGCAATTCTGGACATCTCGCCCCTGATCTTCTTACTCTTGAGTAGGGCAAACCACTACCAAGAATGTTTGTAAGGCTGTACTTTGATAGTTTCTAAATACATTTATGAATACGTACCTAGTTAATCATGAACTGCCAATGTACTGATGAAATAGAAATTATTTGACGATGATGTGTCATTTACCTTGTCTTGTTCTTAAATGCTTTGTAGCTGTGTGTTTTTGTTTTCTTTCACGTTGTATACCTTTTTATAAAAATATTTGGATTTATGATTCTTTATCGATGCCTATTACTTCTAAACATCGTGGGCTGTGTCAGAAAAAAAATATAAACCTTAAGGAAAACTGCTGCAACCGTTTCTACCTTTTACCTCAATCACTCTTCTATAGAGAAGTCCTCATTTCCATGAGTATTTTGTGTTTTATTATTTATTCACATTGTCAGTACAATTAAAATGCACCTTTCCTCAAGTGCCAGGGGTCGAAAACTCACTCAAGTTCCGAACGAAATCAGCTGTCAGACGATCAGCTGATTCGAGTGGCGGTTGGCACCACTGCCGCCGCCGGTAGTCGTCGTTTGTTGGCTTCTTTCAGCTTCAGCGCTTCAGGAAGGATCATCAGTTTTGGAGGCTAGGTCATACAGATGCAGGCGTTAGCGCAACCGGCTTTCTTGTCGTGACATCTCGCCTCTCTGCTTTGCACAGCTGATCCCCACGGACGCGTTGTCATCAGGTTGTGTGCATTGCCCCGCGAGACATGGCGAGGTTCCGGAGACTCTTGGCTGTCGGCTTGGGTGCAGTGGGTGCAAGTGTGTTTTACTGTGTCAACAACAATGACAACAGCATCGTTCTTTTGGCCGCTCAAAAGTTTCAAGACGAGTCATTGCACACACCCAGATTCCATGATCAACCGCTGAAGGCAACCAAATGGGACTGGAATTGGGACAAGTATGTACACCGCTCTGAATTGATTTCTTACCAGAAACGTTGCGACTCAGTGAACGGACTTGCACCCTCTCTTTTCTATTGTTTTGCTGTCTCAGGAGAGAGCCTGCCTTTCTGGTGAAACCTCCGGAAGGAGTGGAAGACACTGAGCGATTTCAAAGAGACTTAGAAGCCAAAAGACCAACCGCCACTCGACATCTCTTTCTCATCAGGCATGGGCAATACAACTTGGCTGGGAAATGTGATACTGAAAGAGTTCTGACTGACACTGGTAATATTTGTTTTAACATCGAGTTTCTTTCACATTCATGTCATCTCTTATTTCAAGTTGAATGTGTCATGTTGATGCAGGTATTAAACAAGCGAAACTGACAGGTGACAGACTTGTTGCGCTAAACTTGCCATACCAGTCCATGATTAGATCGACAATGACTCGAGCCCAGCAAACCGGTGACTACATCTTGACTCGTATGGTTCCTGGCTCAGTTGCCATTAAAGATGATAAGCTCTTGGAAGAGGGGAAACCATACCCACCTGAGCCTTCGAGTACATGGAGGCCAGATTCAGTTGTAAGTGTCAAGTGTGACTGTGAGGATTTACTCGTATTTTTCTTGTTGTAACTAGTTTTGCCTATTGTCTGACAGCTTTACCAAAATGGATGCCGTATTGAAGCAGCCTTCCGCAACTACTTCTACAGAGCCGATTATCGTCAGAAGGAAGACACCTTTGATATAATTGTGTGTCATGCCAATGTCATCAGATACTTTGTTTGCAGGTAAAGTTATGATCTTTTATATTCATTTCTGATTTTTTTTTATGAGTTTGGAGCCATTTTATGAATGACAAAATGTCTTATTTGCATTTTCTGTGCTTCTTTATTTTTGCAGAGCACTTCAGCTTCCTCCTGAGGCATGGCTCCGCATGTCCTTGGACCATGCTAGCATTACCTGGGTTAGCATTCGGCCGAGTGGCTTGGTTGGGCTTCAATACCTTGGTGACTCAGGCCATCTTCCTCGAGAACTCGTCACTCATAACACTTAGCCTCGTGATAATATATTTAGAATACAATTATTTGATCAAGATTTTTGAAATGTGTTCAAAATACCAGTGCATACCACTTAACATTGTGATACATGTAAATGAGTCAGAACTGTGTCAGCTGATGTTTTTTTCTTTTTTTTTTCTTTTTTAGATTTTTTTTGTATTTGTTTGTTTTTGTTTTCTTGTTTAAGTTTTTTTTTCTAGTAGTTTTGTTATGTAACTTCTGTTTTCACTTCATCCTCGAAGAATGATGTTGTTAATTCCATTATACTAGGTGTTTTTTTATAAGTTCTCCATTTATGTATCGCAGGATCAAAATTTTTGTATTTTTCTATCGTGTAATGTTGGAGATGGTTTTATTGGCCTTTTCTGATATTTGTTGATCAAGTGGTTGAAAATGTTTTTGATTTCATTTTTATTGAAGTGTAAAGTTCAGAAATTTATTGTCTTGTTTGTCTTAGAGTTACTGTTTTATAATAAATTTTGGCAAACATCCAGTAATACTTCCTGTCATTACTTTGAGTCTGTATCGTTATACCTTCAGAACTTTCTCCTTACCTTTGTCTTACTCATTAAAAATATAAACACATTTGACCATTCCTATACGTGATCTGCCTGAAAATATAACTAAGTTAAGCTATCACAAGAAAATCACTCACATCTAAATGCGACAAGATAAAAATATTATTTGTATGAAGGTAAAAAAATTAAGGCTTTGCACCGCTTTGCACCTACGGCCACGCGACCGTACCAGTAGTTCAAGGTCTTCAGAACTTACTCTTGCTCACAAAAAGTCCCACTTAACAACAGTTCACAGTCAATTTTTCTGTCCCTGCACCTGGGCTCCCACCTCTCGGACCATCGTCTTCACCAGTTCTTCGAGGTTGTATTTGTGCTCCCAGCCCCAGTCTTTTCTCGCCTCGCTGTCGTCGAAAACTTGCGGCCAGGAATCGGCTGAAAGACATCAATGAAATTTTATACATTATCCCAAGCGGAGAATCAATTTTTGTCCAAGAAATTTTAAGTCAGACGGGTGGACCGGACCAGACTCCGTGGGGTATACGGACACAACGGGCGATACCCCGCGCCTCAGAGGGAATTACTAACGCGGGGTATCGCTAGTTGGGCATCTCGCAGCGCCGGAGATACCCCGCGTCGATTTCCGGGTGTTCCCCCCTGCTCTGTTCTGTTCCTCCTTACCGATCAATTGCCGGCTGTCGGGCTTGTAGGAGACCTGCAGGTGCGGCACGTACTTCCGCAGCTCCTCGGCGAGCTCCTCGGGCGTGAAGCTCATGGCCGTGACGTTGTAGACGCGGCGCCGGAGCTGGTCCGGCGGCACCGTCAGGAACTCCCACAGCGACCGCAGGCAGTCCGTGATGTGCATCATGGGCAGGCGCGTGTCGGGCCGCAGGTAGCACTCGAACTTGCCCGTGCGCAGCGCCTCGAAGAACATGAACACGGCGTAGTCTGCGGGCAGAGCGTGGGGCGTGGGGTGAGTGCACACTGGGCACACGGCGAGGCGCCCCACGAGTGGGAGAGAGACGACTGGGGAAAACCCATCCCACTGGTCGCTCCCTCCGGCCAGCCAAGCCAGGCTGGCCTCGTCGGACGGGGAGATGTCACCAGACCTTTAGCTTGCTGTCGAACAGTAGGGCCTCTTGGTCTAGGGGTATGATTCTCGCTTTGGGTGCGAGAGGTCCCGGGTTCAAATCCCGGAGGGGCCCATTTTTTTCGCCCCTCTCGGTGACTAGGTCGTGGTCGTGACCAGGTACTGACCGGTGGTGCCGCCGCCCGGGGGGTCCGACGAGATGACGCCGGGGAAGCGCAGGCAGCGGAAGTCGAGGCCGAAGCGGTGGTGGTAGTACTCGCCCAGCAGCTCGGCGTGCACCTTGCTCACGCCGTAGATGGTGCGCGGCCGCTGCACCGTCACGTTGGGCGTGGGGTTGCGCGGCGAGTCGGGGCCGAACGAGCCGATGGTGGAGGGCACGAAGAGGCGCAGGCGGTACTGCTTGGCCAGCTCGATGACGTTGTGCACGCCTAGCAACACAAGACGAACGGGTCAGGACGAGCGTCAGGACTCCCAGTGGCGTGTCCGCTCTTTTCATGTGATCAGGCCTTTGGACGACGTGTGAAAAGCAAGGCCTCGTGGTCTAGGGGTATGATAATAGCTCTGAGTGCGAGAGGTTCCGAGTTCTATTCCCGGGAGAGCTCGCTTTTTTGACCGGGCGCTTGGGGACACCGCACATTGGGCCAGCGAAGACCGGATGAGGCGCGGCCAAAATTCCATACACGTTTTGAGCTCCAGAGTCGCTAAATGGGACTCGAACCGAACGTGTGACCTCACCAATGGACTCCTCGCTCGGAGAGCAATCCATTGGTGGGGTCACGGTCACACGTTCGGTTTGAGCCCTGTTTTGCGACTCTGGAGCTCAAAACGCGTCTGTAGTTTTTGCCGCATGCGCCGGTCCTCTGGCCCACGAAGCACTGACCACTCACCTTCTATGTTGACTCTGACGGCGAGGGGCACGTTCTGCTCGCCGACGGCGCTGAGCAGCGCGCTGAAGTGGATGATCCAGTCGATGCGGTGCGACACGACGATCTCCTGGAGGCCCTTGAAGTCCAGGATGTCGGCGAAGATGTACGGGCCCTCGGCCGCCGTGGACTTGGTGGGCTTGATGATGTCGGACATGAGGACGTTCTCCTGGCCGTACTTGACGCGGAGGAAGCGCGCCATCTCGAGGCCTAGCTGGCCGAGGCTGCCTGGAACACAGCACTGTGAGGGGAGGGTCTCTGGGGCGGCGGCGGCGAGGCACAGTGGGTCAGAGGACCGGTGGAGGCGGCCAAAACTCTAGACGCGTTTTGAGCTCCAGAGTCGCCAAATGGGACTCGAATCGAACGTGTGACCCCACCAATGGACTGCTCTCCGAACGAGGAATCCATTGGTGGGGTCACACGTACAGTACGAGTCCTGTTTAGTGACTCTGGAGCTCAAAAAGAGTTTTGGCCGCCTCCGCCGGTCTTCTGGCCCACTGTGCGAGGCCTTGGGCGAGGCGGCGGGCAGCGCAGCACCGCGAGGTACAGACCCGTGATGAGGATCTTGGGCGGGTCCTCGGCCGTGTGGGTGTTGGCGTCGGCGCTGCGGTGCCGGCGCTGCTGGTCCTGCAGCCCGGCGGCCATCCTGCGCGACGCGGAGCACGGCGCCGCCCCCGACGCCGCCCCCGACGCCGCCCCCAGCGTCCTCGCTGCGGCGAACGCCGCCCTGACGGTGCGGCCCAGCATGGCTCTGGAAGGGAGAAAGCATGCCGTGCGAGTACACTGGAGTGCAGTGCACCACTGAGTGGCTGAGGGTAACAGGAGGCCCGTGCTGGTAGGCAGCTCACGCAACCTGCATCCGGGCGGCTACCCTGCCATGGGTAGGCAGCTTCACGGCAAGCCTGCATCCGGGACGGCCTCATCTGCTTAAAATAGATCCTGTCCGTGATACTGAGTAGCGCGACCAATCTTGTGGTTGCCTGCGTAGGTTTTGGACGCGATGCCGCTAGCCGCTGCGTTGCTCGGCGAAAAGATACCCCATGCCCTGTGGTCCTTGACACGTTATTCGGCGTGGAAATGGCCTTTCGTGGGACGCAAGTTGAGTTCTGGTGCGGCAAAGAGGCCGTGCCGCTCTGCGCGAACACACTGTACAACACACTGTACAACACACTGTACCTCCGAAGGCCACGACCGACCGGCCAAGGTAAGGAAGCACCAGCCGACTGATTCGGTGTGGTCGCTCGTCGCTCTGTCTCTCTCGCACTCTCGGGGCGCTCCGTGTTATGCTACGAGAGAGACAGAACGGCGACATGCTGCGCGAAAAGTTGGTCTACACCAGGCTGATTCGGAGCGCTGCCATTGTCGCCGTGTCTCTCTCGCACTCATGAGGCGTGCTGGATGGGCGCGACAGAGACAGAGCGACGAAGCGGTCGTTCGGGATCGACGACGACGACGGCCTGCAGGGCGGCAACCCGATGCGAGGCACGCGCCGACGCGCGCCTAGCAACGCTGAGTCGCTGGCGGTAAACAGATTCGAACGGCGTGTTTTTCGTGTATCGTTGTCTCGCGGATCGGCGTGCCAGCGATGTGTGCGACCACACCGCCACACTGTGCGCGTCACTGCGTCACGACGCGTGCCGCCTGGCGTGCCGCCGCCACACAGTGGGCCAGAAGACCGGCGGAGGTGCTCAAAGCTCTGGACGCGTTTTGAGCTCCAGAGTCACCAAACAGGACTCGAACCGAACGTGTGACCCCACCAATGGATTCCTCGTTCGAAGAGCAACCCATTGGTGGGGTCACACGTTCGGTTCGAGTCCCATTTAGCGACTCTGGAGCTCAAAACCCGTCCAGGATTTTGAACACCTTCACCGGTCTTCTGGCCCACTGTGCGCCACTCACGACCTCGCCGACGGCGAGCCTTTCCCCGGGAGGGCACGCCACTGCAGCGCCAGCACAACTTGGCGGCACCGATGTTTGAATTACAAAATTACCGCGGTTGGCTGAGCCACGCCATCAAGGTGCCGTGCTAGTCGTGCTAAATGGCACACTGTATATGTGTGCGCGTGTGTCAAACGATCGAGACAAGTGCCGGCCGGCTCGTTGCACGGCGTCGCCTCGCCCAACAGCACCAACAGGTACCCGGGACTAGCCGGCCGGCCGCGCCACGCAACACCGGGTACTTTGCATATCATCAACGGTGGCGGGGCGGGGCGGGGCGGGGCGTTCGCCGATCGGCGCCGCGGTCGGTCCACAGCCGTTTCCATACTCCGGCAGACACACACACCGCGGCGGTCTAGTCTAGACGGGTCGTCGGCCGCCTCACCGCCTCTTTTTTCCGGCAGCCCTGCCACCCAGACGGGAAGGTGTAGGCTGCAGACTGAGTCGTCTTCGTCGCCCTGTCTCCCTCGCACCGAGACGGGACGCCTCGTGAGAGCGAGAGAGGCAGAGCGATGAGATCGACTCTCGGAATCAGCCTGCAGGGCCTCTCGCGGAGCCATCGATCCACGCGTCCGTGTCCGTCTACACCGCGGTCGCTCCAAGCTCGAGGCTCGAACCCGTTCCGGTCCCGCCGGCCGCCCCAAGGACGCGCGGCGTCGCGGAGCGCCGAGCCGCGAGGCGCGGCCGGCTAGTCGCACAGTGGGCCAGAAGACCGGTGGAGGCGGCCAAAACTCTAGACGCGTTTTGAGCTCCAGAGTCGCTAAATGGGACTAGAACCGAACGTGTGACCCCACCAATGGATTGCTCTTCGAACGAGGAATCCATTGGTGGGGTCACACGTTCGGTTCGAGCCCGGTTTAGCGACTCTGGAGCTCAAAACAAGTCTAGAGTTTTGGCCGCCTCCACCGGTCTTCTGGCCCACTGTGAGTCGCCCAGGCGCCTACACTAGTAAAGTGTTTGCCGCCGGAGCGAAGCCGCGGAGCCCGCACAATCTAAATATAACCCGGCCATGCAATCCCGATCCGGTCGGCACCTCGGTGCATGTGCCATGTGCCGCCTGCGGCGCGAGACCGAGGCTGCTGTCGTCGCCCTGTCTCTCTCGCACCCCCACGAGACGCCCCGGAGTGCGAGAGGGACAGGGAGACGCAGTGCCGTTCGGCGGATCGAACCACAGCAGGTCTTGTTTCAACAAGGCTCAAGGCGAATGTGTTTTCTGCCGCGCTCCTCCGACACGAAAATTTCAGTTGAGTGATTGTCTCGCCGCACATCGACCAGTTTTCTGTTTTTCTCCGTCTGGGCGCGGACATGGCGAAACAGCGAACACAGCGAAAGAAGGCCTTCCTCTCGCTTCTTCTTCGCAAGAGCCGAGGGTTCTTCTCTTCGGCGTCGCCAACTTGTAGTGAACTTACACTGGAAGGAATTCCCTTTGCCTTAGCGTGACTCAGCCTCTGGATAGGAGACCTATCCTGTAAGGCTTCATCAACAAGCTCCCGGCGAGAAAGAGAAACACCTCCAGCAGAGCTATTTCGAATGCCGCTCTGTCTCTCTCGCACCAGTCCGGGAGTCACCTTGAGTGCGAGGGAGACAAAGCGACTCCACGTATGCGACCTCACCTGCTGCTCTGGCTGGCCGCGCTGGCCTGGAGGACGAGAGAGGGCGGGGAAGTCCTGGAGTCCTTGAAGGACGAGTGGCAGCTGCAGCCGCCGGCGGAGGGACGCGTGGACCTCACGGCCTGCTTCAGACAGGTGTCTTAACGGACTATGCGGCGCCTAGCGCCTCGCCGCGGGTCGCCTGTCCGACCGTCCGTGTGGTACCAGGTCCCACGCCCCGCCCCGCCCCGCACGCCGCGGTGCCCCGGCATAGTGACGGTGGCAGCGGCAACCAATCAGCCGTCGCCTCCAAGGAGGCTCGCCGCCCGCGAACACCCCCCCCTTCCCCCGTCTCTAAAGTTGTTTACTCTCCGGACCAGACACGTGGTAGGTCGGCGAACAGGACAGGTGGGCCCAGCTGTGTATTCTACTTTTTTCTATTTCTCTCTCTCTCTCTCTCTCTCTCTCTCTCTCTCTCTCTCTCTCTCTCTCTCTCTCTCTCTCTCTCTCTCTCTCTCTCTCTCTCTCTCTCTCTCTCTCGTCCGATCGCACCGGCGACGCGGCGACCTGCCCGCAGAGTAAATAAAAACAACACGCCAGCTCCGGCAAGGGCGGGGCGGGCGAGCGCAACTTGTTTGCACGCTGCGCTGCGCTAAAACTTTGAAAATGAAAGAAAATAAAACGGTGCGTTCGCTGCGGCTCGATGGCGCCGACAAAAATGTAAGACGGAGCGATTACGGGCTGTCGCACGCAGAGTGGTGTTTAAGTTTGGCGAGGAATTTGAATGTCTATTACCTTAAGAAGCCGCATTTCTTAAATCACGAAAATAATTTACATGCAATAAGTGGATTTACTTTTATTGGGCAAGAGACGGCTTTTTCGCGTGTCGCGCCAATGGTCGCACTGTATCTTAAGATTTCCCAAGAATGCCACAAGGCCCACACGACAAAAGCTACGCGACATCTAAGCTGATGGAAACTGTTAAACGTTGCGGTGTACCTTCAGGGATCGTAGAAAATGGAAGGTCAACACTGCTCTAAGGCAATCAATTTAAATCTCCACCCGAAAAAAGCCGTTTTTTTTTAACCAAGAAATTTTACGTGCAATAAGTGTTTATTTACTTTCATTTTGCATCTGCACTGCGAACTTGACGAATCAAACACGCGAATCGGTCGCCATAACGGCCCAACTTTCTCGCGGCGTTGGCGTGGTGGGCCGCAGGGCGCCGCAGGGCCGAGCTGGTTCTGCTGGCCGTGCTGGCTGGGCGCCGCATATCGAACGCACTTGTAGCCACATCTCTTACCCCCTCCCCTCATGCCCCTCCCCGGCTTGCAGGCCCGCCACTACAAAGCCAGCCAGCCAGCGCCCCTCCAGTCGGCGAGAGTGCGACAGAGACGGAGCGAGCACCACGCCACGCCCATCGTCCTTAGGGCTCGCGCGGACACACCACTACCCTGCAGAATTCATACAAGGAAACCTTTTCTCTTTGTGGGTTTTATTTTCGTGTCATGTCGCGCGCCGTGGCGAGCGGCGCTGTCACGGTTCGTGATAGTTCGCGGTGAGTCGATACCGTCAGTGACATTTGGCGAGAAGCGAGGACAAGGGAGGCACACCACGTCCACATCAATTCTTACTTGCATTTTTTCTTTATTCTGCACCGAGACACCACTCCTTGTTCTGCTGTGGGCGAAGGAGGAGGCTCGAGTACAGTTACATTATGACACGTTACAGTAATAAACGCTCTTTTTTTCATGAAAAGAGACTTCTCGATGGCATTTGATTCCTTTTAGGTAACATAGATAAATTATTATTACGTAAATAATGGACTTAGCTCCCATTTGTACTTCTGACGGCGGGAAAGCCATCGTTGGGGCTGCTTCCCGGACACAGCGGGGAAGTGGAACAGTTGGGAGGAAAACGGAAACAGGTCTGAGAGGAATGTACGCTGGAACAATGAAAACAAGGGAAAACTTTGTGTTTGCAGGCGTCTGAACACCCAGGAAGCGACAGACAGTTATCGGTATTACAGAGGGTTCAGACTCTTCATCCAAGACCAGCTTTTTGCTTTGAGCTGCAACACTCTTATTATTTTTGACTAGATTTCGACTATGCTCGAATCGCCCCACCTCGAAAGGTCGAACAATGAGAAGCTGGCCTTTTCTTGCAAATAGACAGACGACTAGATAGAACACTTTTCTGACACGAAATATAAAACAAAAGGAACATCGATTGACAGTGGACAAACAACCGACGCGTCGGGACGACGTCGCCGCGTCCCCAAGCACTCGTCCCTCACAAAACAACAACAACAAACATTAACATTCAAAAATAATAAAAACAAAAGAAAACAAAGTCCTGGTACTGCGATCGCTGCCACTGGGAAACATGGACCGGAAGCTAATTGACAAATCCGACCGGATTTCCGGTTCGGAGAGCTTCGGACAGGAGCTCGGGCCGTAGGCGGCTTGTCGCAATCAATAATAACGAATTCCTCAAATTGCTCTCAATACCTTCCCCCCCCAAAAATAAAACAAGATCAAAGAACCTCCTAGATCTTTTGTACTTGTAGTTGCTCATAAACTTTCATACTCTAACCCGCATTTTTTTTACAACGCAAACACACACACACTCGCACTGTACACATTCACTCATACACGCACACACGTTCAAACTATCAGGAAAAAACTGACAAAAATCACAATGAATCAACACTGGGCTCTCCCGCTCTTCTTTGGAATGGGTGTACACCATGCATCACAGGCACGTCTTTTGCTCTTTTGCGTTCGCTTCACCGCACTGCTCGAATTCATCGTCCTCGTCGTCCTCGTGGTCCGCGGGGGCCGGGGCCGGGCGGGGCCCTTGGCCGCCCCGGGCATGGCGGCGTCGCGTCGGGGCGGCCCGGGCCGGAGTAGGGAGTGGGGGGACCTCGCCGTCAGGCCGTCAGTGGCGCCTCAGGGACAGGTCCTGCGCCTGCTCGTCCTGCTCGCCCTGCTCGTCCCGGTGCTCGTCCTGCTCGGCGTGCTCTTTGTGCTTCCCGCGACGCGGCTTGGTGCGCGGGGCGCCGCCCACCCCGCGCGGTCGGGGGCGTCAGTAGTGGGGCGTGGCGGCGGGC